CCTTACTTAACAGAACTATAGACTTGTCTTGTTTATTTGTTTTTTTAGGTTTTCACGCACATCACTCATTAAATAAAACTAGTTTTTGACGCTTCGTCAGAATGTTTTTTTTTATTTAATTTTATCGAGCTACCTTCGAAAGACTTTTATTGAGCGTTCGGTTATTTCATTGTTCGATTTTTAAAGTTTTATTGTCTATGTATTAATTTATTACTTAATTTAGTTAATAAAGTACTTTATTGAAAATTCTTTTTTGTAATTTTGAGTTTATTTATTTGACCCTAACTACCGTAAATTACCACCGGTTCCAAAATTGGGAGACCTTTCTGAGAAGAACCGGCAAAACAAACTCAAGAGAGGCTTTCTATCTCCTTCTTATGTTAATTTATGCAAACAAAAAGAAAAACAAAAAGAACTAATAGTATCCGTTGGTCTTACAGTGTGTGCTCGGGGTTGGGATTTTATCTCCTGTATAATGGGTTCCCAAGCTGGTGGTATATACCAACCATCTATTGAAATTTGGATATTTTTTAATCTCAATAGCCTCGCGTATCATTCTAGGAATGAATCGTTGCTCAGTTGCAAGGATCTGTGGTTTATCAAATCTAATGTAATGGTTTGGTCCCCCTAATGCATGTTTACACACTGCAGACTTTCACATATATATTGATAATCACGTTAAGCATAGTGTATCTGTACCCTTAACATGGGCCATTATCGAATTCGAATAGTTGAATTCGATCTATTTTAGGTGTACTGATTTTTAGTTCTCGTTACGTCCGCTGTGGCGCTGCTGAACAAAATTTTACATTAACATTTCGCACTCGCAAACTATTCGAACTAGGGGTAGGTACTGTTCTAAGTTTGTACTTACCTACGTTTAATTAATGCACCTACCCACCATTCAACCGCCAAGGTGACTCCAATACTAATTCCCACGTCAGCTTGTGGCAATTGGCGGCAATCTAATTACAACGGTGTGAAAGGTGTCGAGCGCCTACACAAACGTAATTTGATTTGACGCTCGCGCCAATAACGGCCCTCTTATGATTATGAATCATTCGATTCATAATATGACACAGATTGTATTCATGAAAGGCAGGAAGAGAAGATACGTTCTTCGTTTAACTATCCTTTACCGCTAAGGTTGTCTGGAAGAGATCGCTTAAAGCGATAAGGCCGCATTTGCCCACATTATGTTATTGTTTACTTTTTGTATTTTTTTGTATGGTTGCAATAAAGAAATATCTATCTATCTAAACGTTGTTTTTGAGGACTCCGTACCCAAAAGGTTGTACCCGTCTATCCGTTTGTCAGCGGTTGGTATATAGGTATCCCATTATGAATAAATAAAGGCCCCATACAATTTAGGCGTTTGTTTGTTCGACATATTTTATTCAAACTTAACAGTGCTGCTTTTTTTACTATTATTAACCTCTCCGTTGGATGGTGGAGGGGTAAGATCCCTCGAACTTACGTATGCGGATTTGAATTGTACTTGCAAGTTTAGTTTTTGGAAAATTCCAATCTTTCTTCTTCTTTGGTTTCAAGGGTAGCTAGAAGGCAAGTACAATGGTCTGAAAGGTCGACGACAAAGCTAACGCGCACGGTAGGATATGCAAAGAGGACACGTTGCTAACATCAGGTGCGATTGAGGCCAAACGCACTGAAACCTTTATTAAAAAAAATATCCAGCTCGAAGGACCAATATACTGGGGACTTTAAATTAGTGGTCTGAATTGCATAAGAATAGGATAACTATTTTATAATCAATAGAAGAATAGACATCGAAGGGTTGCGTAAAGCGCAAGCGAATGTGTCACCCGCCGCCGCCGCTCTTCTTGTGTTCGAAGGTCCCTTATCCGTGTGCTAAAGACTAGTTGACGACAAGTTTTGTTTTAAAATGTCTCTTTTTAGGTTGTCTAGAATATTGCTTTGTACATAAGCACTATCCTCAACCCGTTCGTATGTTAGACCGACAGCTTTGGACACTCGATTTTGAGATTGAGAAGCCACTCAGAGTTGCCAAGATAACCTTTTAGAAATAATCATTTATTGTGCCCAGTTACAATTTCGTGGCCGGCTTCACGTCTGCATTTTATACTATCAGTCGCTGCCATGCGTGTTAGTAAGTCCGAGTTGCCATTAAAGCTTGGGTTGGTATGGCATCCTCTTCAAATGTTAATTTGAATCTAATTGTACTTACTTTATGTTTTAGTACAAAATTTCCTTTAAGTCGTTTCGTTTTAATGAAGTCGGTTTTTATAAAAAATATGCGTGAGTATTTTAGAACACTCTGTTGGAACGAAGTTAAAAATAATTTATATAGCACCAACCAATCCGCACTGGGTTGCTCTCGGTCCATCACTCCTGCTCCCGCTCCATCACTCACCACTTCCAGACCATCCCCCCCCCCCTTCGATCCATCGCCCCCGCTCCCGGTCTATCACTCCCGCTCCCGGTCCATCACTCACCGCTGCCAGTCCATCGCCCCCGCTCCAGGTCTATCACGCACTGGTTCCGATATATCACTCACTGCTCCCGGTCCATCACCCGTGACTCTCGGTCCATCACTCAACGCTGAAAGTCCATCGCACCCGCTTCCAGCTCATCGCTCACTGCTCCTAGTCTATCGCCCCCGCCCCCGGTCCATCGCCCCCGCCTCCGGTCCATCGCCCCCGCTTCCGGTCCATCGCCCCCGCTTCCGGTCCATTGTCCCCGCTCTCTATCTATCACTCACTGATCCCGGTCTATCAATCGCGGCTCCCGGTCCATCAGTCGACGCTCCCAGTCCATCGCTCCCGCTTCCAGTCTAGAACACTCACTCGCTCCCGGTCCAGAACTTTAAACTAACCAAGTCCACAGTCACCGCCGTCAGTGATCGCTAGACATGGGTAACTCAACAAAAAACCGTGAGCCGCAGATCATCTAACGGTTCACTTGTGTGAACTGCAGTGCTATTGTATTGCAGTCCGATGTGGATTTGTACGGATTTATGTAGGAAACGCGCGGATCCGATGTGGAAATTTTACAGAATAGCACTACTGAACCTGCGACCCGGTTCACAGATCAGCTCACTCAGTACCTACCTAAGTACTGCGTGAGCTGGTCCGATAGATCTTAGTTACTTCGACCTTGTTTTCGCAAGATATACAACAGATGGCACAAATATCATTCTTGTTGCTTAATATGAATAGATTAAGCATTATTACTGGGAAGTAATGGATAAACCCTAACCCATATTAGCGGGTAATGCTAAAATGGGTTAGGGTTTACCCATTTCTTCCCGTTGATCCATTATTAGAGTAATGCTTTAGCATTGAATAAAAAAGCGGCTCAAAAGTGATCCGCTTTAATTGTGGTACATGACCATGATTCGCTTTAATCACAATTGGACATACAAACACGCTGCATGTGCACTCAATATATGCTAAATACCGGACATCTGGCAACCCTAGGCATAATCACCAAAAATTTAATTGAAATTGGCCACAGTTTTTCGGTATCAGGGTATAGTAACGGTTTAAATCTTTGGGTAAGCCTAGTAAACTGAATATATGAACTGGTTCAGAGCCGAGTTACTCAGGTCTAGTGGTCGCCCAAAAGATGCCCATCTAGTCACCCACCCAGCTGCCTAGCTGGTTGCCTCGCTAGGTTGTGACGGAAAAAATTGCCCATCCGTCATACCGTCCCAAAATGAACTTCATTCCAATAATTATTTCTTATAAAATTATTGGTCTGAAGTACCTTTTCGGACAAATAGAAAAAATCAAACTACAGACTTTTTAGATACTACATATTTCACTTTTTTTTTGTTTTTATAATGGCTCGCATGAAGAGATTTCACTTTCATTTTTTTTTTTAAAATGACTTCGCACGGCTTGTGCATTTAGCCAATGTCAAGTGTTAAAATGTTTACAAATACTATAGCACTCGTGGTCAAAGTAATAAATCAAGTCAAAGTAAGTGGCAGTCAAGTCAATTCCACTTTCCCTGTTTCAGTAAAAATGTGGGGATTTACTGGAACCTCTCCGTGGACTTCTTGAGGGAACGTCGAAAGACACTTTCCGCTATTTTGTTTCACTTGCCAACACTTGTGCATGTTCCCGAACACTTAGTGGTTAATAATCCACCATTATTAGACACTAACATTCGCCACAACACAATTTTTAACAAGAAAAACAAAACTGCTAAAGTGACGTTTCCCGATCCCGCCAAAAAGTCTTCACTTTCTTCTTCTTCTTTTTCTTTTTTGTGGCAAGCACGGTTTGTGCGTTCAGCCAATGTCAAGTAAAAAGTCTTCACTTTTTTCCTGAATGACTTCACACGGCTTGTGCATTTAGCCAATGTCAAGTGTTAAAATGTTTACAAATTCTATAGCACTCGTGGTCAAAGTAAGTGGCAGTCAAGTCAATTCCACTTTCCCTATGTTTCAGTAAATGTGTGGGGATTTACTGGAACCTCCCCGTGGACTTCTTGAGGGAACGTCTCGAAAGACACTTTCCGCTATTTTGTTTCACTTGCCAACACTTGTGCATGTTCCCGAACACTTAATGGTTAATAATCCACCATTATTAGACACTAACATCCTCCACAACACAATTATTAATAACAAGAAAAACAAAACTGCTAAAGTGACGCTTTCCGATCCCGCCAAAAAGTCCAGTCTTCACTTTCATTTCATTCTTCTTTAATATTTTTTTAACGTTCTCCCTTTTTAGGGAAGTCAAAGGGAACAATACCGATACAGCCTAATCATGATATTATTTTTTTAAATGTGGATGTGACGTATTCTAATGTTTCTTGAAGTGTTTGGCACGAAATGTATCGAGTCAGCTTTTTCGATAAGCTTCTATAAATAGTCAACACTATAATAAAATTCCTGCGCTTATTCTTCAGTTGCACAGACGACGGTTGTAACAACAAAATCACATCAACTTTATTTCATAATATCCACTATGAAGGAATTACAGAATCATTAATTAAAATATGACGCCAACCGGAGCGCCAACCGCAGACGATGAAATAGCGCCAAAAACTCACTGGTTCGTTACTCTATGGTTTTTTCGCTCGCTTTTGCGTCATTGTCTTTCGTTCGTTTGACGAAATTATTCACTCACGAACGAACCAATTGCTTTTTTTCTTGTTTCGTCTTTCGTCCTCAAGTTTGTCGGTAAGGCCACGAAAGCTTATTTGAGATAATTTCAACATTATTGTTTATCAACTTAGCAATTGAAAATGAAAAAGGTGATATTTATTTGTTTGCTCTCATTTTCAATATGCATGAGCCGACCAGATGGAGCACCAGGTAAGTACAGTACATAGTAATCTAGAAATAATCTGGCATCCATTATTGCATTCTACTTCAATTTTCTCTTGACAGTTTGTGCGTAGTTAAAATTATTTTCCCCATTTAACATAGTGTTTTGCATATCTATATACCAAAATTTACATAGAATTTAATATAATCTCGTTATCTTCTGTCGTACTGGAATGTGATTTCTATGTTTATCAGATAGTTATGACTGTTTGAGAACAACTAAAATTATGGTTTAGAATATATTACACAACATTAATGCATCAAAATAAGAGTTTCGGAATCAATAATAATGTGAAGCAACATTAGTTGTACCTATTTGTCAAATTAAGTGTATCTATCTGTAAGTAGTTACAAGTACTACGGAAGTATAACGGTATACAGTTTTGTAGGATACTTTATTTATAGTAGACTAGCATCCTGAGGCGGTACTAATAAATTATGATTAAAAAACCTCTTATAAATTAATATACTTACAATCTTTACAATGTTACCTTCTTTACAATTCCCTGTGATTTATTTGACAAGTTAAATCTTTTCACAAAGAGGTTTATTGAAATCAAACCATATGATATGTTTTGTTTTTTACATGTGTAGATAACCAAATTGTTTTATGTACAGGTTCTGCATCACAAGCAGCAGCAACGCAACAACCACCACCTCCCAATACACCATCACCAACAACAGAACACAATGACACCTCAACTGTACCCCAAGCTCCCACTGCTGTGACAACATCAGTTGTTGCTGAAGTGCCATCGCTACTTGCTCAAGTGGTAACTACAGCTAATGCCACCAAAACTATCAATGACACAAACAGAACCACTGAGAAAAATGAAACTGCTAAACCATCCAATATACCACCCGTAACTGAAAAGGTGACTCCGACACCTTCACCTGTACCGGAGAATAAAGAAAATACAACAACAACTGATCATACCATGAAAAATGTAACAACTACTGTGAAGCCCACATCTAAGCCAACAACTACAGAAACACCAAAAGCTACTGACGCTCCACCATTACAAGCTCGAGGGTAATTTATTTTTATGTCTTAACTCTGTAAGATATGCTGTTTCTTTACAAGGGGGAAAAAACGACGACTCTCATTGCCAGAGGCACTATTGCCATATGGCCCATGACTTCTGTAAAAATAGATTTTGAAATTATTTGATAAAATTGTTTTTGGTCATAATACCTGTTTTGTACCTCCTAACTAGGTTCCCTTTGCTTTGGAGTCTGAAAGGAAAATTTAACATAACCTAAAAAACTGAACCAAATTGACAGTGTGTTAAGAGCCATACTGCTATAGCGCCATTTGTATTGAGCTATGCACCTTCTTTCGCATTGGCACCTAGAGGTTACCCGATACTCAGTACTCAGAGTACTAGGTGAAATGTGTTTGCCCATCCATTGAAACAGCTGTTGTTATGTTTTGATTAAATAATCAAAACATAACACTGTTTCAATGCTTTTTATTAGAGTATTTTTATCTTTTAATATTTTATTAAGATACAGTTTTTGTTTTTCCTACATAAAACCTCTTTTTTAATTAATTTATATGACAAGTTCTTAGTCTGATGCAGCTTAGTACACTCCTCAACCATTTTCAGGCAGATGTAGAAACTAAATGAGAATGCGAGAGGTAAATTACTGCATAGAATATATATTAAAAATGTAATTAATATGCTTTTTCTTCAATTACAGATTTGATGGTCCCAGTTTCATTGGTGGGATTATCCTCACATTGGGTCTTCTAGCTATTGGATTCATGGGATTCAAGTATTACAAGAATCACACTGAAGGGATTTACAATCCTCTAAGTTAAGCATAAAATTATTAATTTTCTCTTATGAATATTTATGTAAGTGCAGTATCATTTTATTTTTCTAAGCAAGTGTTGAATCGATTTTTTTTTTCATTAGAAGCAGTTTAATTTTGTTTTATGATAAATACATACAGGGTTACTGCATGTTATATTAGTAAAAAGGCACTGTTAGTCTTTTTTATCTAAATTAAATTGAAATGGTGGCTGGTCATTAAAGACTTAGATTTACTTTGCAAATATTTTATATTTTTTCAATCTCTTAGTATAATTTGGCATTTATATTATTGTTTTAAGTGATAAGTGTAAACTTTCCTATTTAATGGTGTACTAATAATATGTACACCTATGGCAACTAATAAAAATCCTTGATTTAAGAAATCAGGATTAAGTGATGTAAATTTATAATGAAAAATTTCATATGAGAATATATGTAACAAATATTATCTACAGATATTTTGAGATTCATATTATAAAATGTGCAATTTAGTATAAAGTATATCATCATAATCTTGGTTAACCTGTGCCATGTACTGGATTCCACATCTTAATTTTAACATTTTTACACTACTCTGCTTTTGACTTGCACTGAGATTTCAAAGATGTATCTAGTTTTAAGTGTAAAATTATATTGTAAGTGTTATGTGTAAGGAAACGCAATGTGATGAAGAAAATAAGGGTCTAAAGTATGTAGTACCTGTATTGATTTGGCATTACTGAATTTCTTTGGATCTCATTAAAATTCTTTTTACTCTTAACTTTTTGAATCTCAAATCTTCAACGCATGAGAACATCTCTACTTGTCCAGAAATGATTATTTTTATTCTTTATGCCAAGTCAATTATATTTTATGTTTTCTTTTTTGAATCTAAATAATTCTATTCGTAAATGGAGGAAAGATGATTCCATCCTAAAGTGCTCTTATATCTGAACTAATTATCGATAGATAAAGAGATTTACATAGTTTCTCAAAAGATATTACTGCTACTTTCTCACACATGTCAGTCAATGGTTATGTTAATAATAAAGATATATTATGTATGGAAAATATCGCTGTTTTATTTAAAAAATAGGCAATTTGACAGTATTAAAAATAATGTACCATTTGATGGCATCCGTATTTAATATGAATATTAGCAGCGATTTTTGCTCCACAGTCACGTGACAAATTAATAAAATCCAAGACCAAGTCCAAGACTTAAATAGGTAAACTTCGAGCTAAAGTGACTATTGTTCAGAGAACCGTTTCTTCGGATCACTTTTGAGTCGGGAGTGCCGTACTATCTTCCCCTTTTGTTTTAATCTAAGCAAATACCTACAAATAATACCCATATATGCCCATAACTATTTTGTATTTGGTGTGTCCGTCGATCTTAGATTAAAACAAAAAGGGGAAACTACGGCACCAAAAGTGATCCGCTTAAATTGTGGTGCTTGACCATAATTCGTTTTAGTCACAATTGGACATTCAATCAAACACGCTGCATGTGTTAATGTTTTAGTGCCGGGAACGGGAACAGTACCAAACAACAGAATTGAGAACTGCCCTTTGAACGATATAAAGTCCTGTAAAAAAGAACATGGTTAATAAGAGAGTCGCCTAGATCAAAAAATGCTATTTGTGCTGTGCTCTGGCACGATAATAGCGACCTTGCTATCTAATGAGTATGCAGTGTAGTCCAGATATTTAAGGTTAAATTAGGTAAGAATCTCGGAATTCGAGATACCCTGTAAGTCTGAAATACTTGTTTAATGACACCCGAAGGTATTGTCCTAGTCCTAATACAACGCGATCGTCGCGCGTTTAAGCGATGCGACCATCGCGTGATCGCGAACTGGGTGTCCTAATAGAACGTGAATACGGAACGGGTTAGCCCTGCCCCTCTCCCCGCTTCCTATCATCGCGCGAACTTCAGTTAAGACACCAATTCATCATTAATAGGTTCGATTGCGCGTTCGCGCGAATTGATTTTTAAACATTTTAGTCGCGCGATCGCCTATTAGGACACCTATTCTAGATCAATTTATTTGATCGTCGACTCGTACGATGATCGCATCGCGTTATCGCCACTTATACTACATTTGTTTGAAAGCTATTATAGTCATGATCATCTGTGCCAAAGGCCCGGTAGGCCCTGGCCTAGCTTGGGCGGCCCCAATCGACACCCTAATCTGACAAAATTAAGCGCGTCAGAAATCAAAGAAAAGGTCAAAGCATTGCAAATAATTTATTCTACTGACTTAGAAGACTATAAAAAATAAAGATCGAAACAGTTCTGTCAATTTGTTGAAATGGTTACGAATTTTTTTTTAATTTGTATGCTGTTGGTCGCAGTTGACCTTTACAGCGTCACCGGGTTTGGGGACGGCGAGATCAAAGCCGAGAATTGGCGAATGCCTCTAGAGGTATTCCAGGCGGATGGCGTCTCCCACGGGGGGGAGTCTCCTCTCCGTCTGGAGCCTCTAGACCACTCGAACCTGAGGAGATCGGCTCAACCGAAATGTCAACGTATGGAAACTTGAACAGCAGCGGCACAAAGTACGTAACGAGAACTAAAAATCAGTACACGTTACGAATTCGATATGGGTTAGTGCTAAGGGTACTGTTGTGCCATCGGCAACAAATCGGTTAATTAACTTCTCCTAAAGAAAACATACATAAATTATTATGATCGTAAGCATAATTTATTTAGTGGAAAACATATGATACAATGATTTACTAACACAAGGGCCAACATTGCGTTTTGTGCTACCATACTTTAAATTAGCTAACATCATTTCGCTCTCCTTCTTATCGATACAATTTTCATAAGCTTTCATGAGAGCTACAGGAGTTTTATACACATTTGTAATAGCCAATGCTTTTTCAACAGATACTCCCTTTATCTGGAGAAGCAATTTAATAAAAGTTTCTGTAACTGACAGTGGTTTACTTTTTGTTGATGTTTTGTTGAAATAATTAAATGTCATCAAATTACCATTTGTTGGTTCGCTATTACAGCCTTTTAAATCTTGATTCTGTAACAAATAAGAATAATATACATGAATTTGGTATGAAGTGGCACAAATTTGTAGTAACTAGAAGGACTTATTAAAGACACTTTAAATCTAGTACTTGTAAACACTAACAAAATAATGTTTGTCAAAGTCTTATATAACTTATACTTATAAATAATATATACATTTGGATTATAATATCCGGAATTTGAATTTATTGAGAGAAAATGGTTAACAATCTACAATTTCTTAGTATATTGGCCTGGGGCCATCGCATGGCGAGTGGAACCAAGGGCGGATCCAGGGGGGGGGGGGTTATGGGGGTCATGACCCCCCCTGGGCTGGGTACAGATGGACCAAACCCAGGGGGATTTTATTTAAGTACTTTCAATATTTAATATACCACGACTATATGACCCCCCCTGGCGCCAAAGCTGGCTATATGACCCCCCTCCTGGGGGCCATTCGCCTAACGGGATTGCTATGAAAAACGCTATCGCTTACGATTTCATTTTGTTATTTCTGACCGCCGAAGGTTTTTAAATACCTCACGCTCATTTTCTTTTATACTGTTATTACCAATTCAAAAGAAAAAAAAGAGCTCGAGGCATTTGAAAATCTCAGGTGGCTAGAAATAACAAAATGAAATCGTAAGCGATAGCGTTTTCCAAAGCAATCCCGTTAGGCGAATGGCCCCCTGGCGGCAAAGCTGGATCCGCCCTTGAATGAAACACTGAACAATGCCTGGAAACTGTCTACCAAGTGTAGGTATACGAGGGCCCTTTAAACATACGTATTAATGCCAATTTCGGTAAGATCTACTAAAATAGATTTGGATACTTGTTCCACAGTTAATAATAGTTTTTAGTAAGCCAAGTCTTTCAGTGGGGTTTTATTACAGATGGTGGAGTTGTATGTGCACGGGTTCTGAACGGGTTGAACTTCGATAGGGGCTATATATATATGCCCTAACTACCTATATATATATGAATATCGACATCTTTCCCCCATCGAGAAACCAATGTGAGCTCCATAGCATAGCCATAGTCTTAACTAGGGCTGCCATCTCGAAAATGTGACAACCAGGATAAGACGCGTGATAACCCCGGATTTTGGAGTCCAGAACCCAGACAGACCAATAAAAAAACAGTTAAAAATGTGTTAATCCAATAAAATTTTGTTGGCTCCAATTTGAGACTTGATCCAGTAACATCTCAATCTCGGACAAAAGTCTGTCTTTACACCCTTCTTCTTCCATCCGAGGGATGTTTCACCGGCCAGTGTAAAAAGTTTCAGTGCTGTCATCCACATAGCAACGAATGCTGTTATTGCGGACAGTGTAGGCGACAAAGCAGATCTTTGTTGGAAGTCAGCATTTATGGTTAGTGTTAGAATAGATTTATTTATTTTCAAAGACATATAAATTGACGGATTAATTGGTGACCCAAAACAGGATTTTTTTAAACCCGGACTACAAATGAAACCCCGCCCGGACGCTCCCCGGACGCCCCATAAACTAGGACAAATCCGGGGAAACCCGGACGGATGGCAGCCCTAGTCTTAACACATCTTTAGGTATATTCTTGTAAATAAATAAAAGTCTTAATAATATTACACCCTTTTTTGTGGGTTGTTGTGTAAAAAGTAGTACTTATTTGTTTTCATTCACCTAATCTGACAATCAAGCAAGCAAGATTTATAATAATTAAAATGGGCTTTAATTTCATGAGTGTCCACTTATTTTAGTTAACCAGCACAGCACACAAACTGTTATTAGCCTGCAAATAAGAGCATTTACAGAATCAAAACTTAGCTTAGAAAATGCATTACTAGTGAATCCAGTAATTATCCACTACCTAATATTACAGAATTTCATGGAGTACCCCCACTAGAGTCCACATTACTACATTTTTTATGTTGAAATCATTTCTCAATAAAATGATATATCCCCATTGGTCTATATGTGGGTGGGGGAGGGTTGTTACACCCTTATGCAGGAATACCACAAACTGGGCACAAGCAGTTACTTTGGAAAATTGCAGACTAGTGGGAGGGCTAAGTTTAAAATATTAAATTATTTACCTTGTATTCTACTGTAATTCTTTTAGTCATCATAGCTAAAAATCTTGCTGAATGACTTAAAGAATCTGTCAAGTGTACTTTAAATCCATCTTGAACTCTTGTATTAGCTAAAGACTGCATTAATGATTGTATAGGCAATCCACAATGGCTATTGCTACCATAATTCTCTACCATATATATAACATTTTTCAAACCACATTTTCTCAACCTGAACTTCTGTTCGTGGAATCTTCCATCTTTAATGCTATGACCCAAGTCGTCCATTCTTTTTCTTTCCACTATGAATGGCAGTACTAGCTCTTGGTCTCTGTTAATTTTGTGTCTTGCTATCCAAGTAAAATCACCAACTTTCAAACTCCTATACTCATGCAACATGTCTGGATACTTGTTGAATTGTGCCACAGTAGGATCATTTTTCTTAGATGGGCTGCAAACAAATTCATGGTGTTAAATTCAAATGGTATTATTGGAGTTATCCACTATCCGTTATAGTTTAAGAAATAAGACAATTTTTATATCCAAAATATATTGAAGATAATAAATAAATAAATAATAAATAAATATTTCCAACACTCACACCAATTAACCTAGCCCCAAGCTAAGCACTATAAGGCTTGTGTTATGGGATACTAGGGTAACGGATAGAATACATATACTGTACATATATAAGTATATTTATATAGAAATGCATATTAAAACATCCATGACTGGAGTACAAATGCTCGTATTCATCACACAAACATCTGCCCCCACCGGGATTCGAACCCGGGACCTCTCGAGTCGGCGACACCATGAAACCCGGCATACAAACCACTCGGCCAAGGAGGTTGTCAAATAGGTATAATAGGTATAATGAGGATCATTACTAGGTCAGATAATCTCAACTGAAAATCAACAGTATAATGATGTAATAAGCTTTTTAATTATTTTACTTTTTAAATCATCGAAATTGGTTCATTTGTTGTGATTTAATAACTAATTTTTTTTTTGTTTTATTTTTATTTTACTGTCAGAGCTTTGATATTGAGGCAACATAAGTGATAATTTATCTATGTAGCTGGTGCAGCACATATAAGCTATCTTTCCCATGTCACTCTTACTAAATTTCAAGAGGGTTTAAGTAATTTTGTATTAAATACAACAATCATAACACATATTATAAATGCGAAAGTGAGTGTTTCTTAAGCTTTCATGCAAAAACTACAGAACACATTTGGTATGTACATAGTTTATGACCGGGATTGAGACACGAGGATAATTTATTTCTGGAAATATGTTATGTAGCTGTGTGATCTCAAAAACCTAAAGTTAATGCAGACCAAGTTGTGTGGAACAAAAAATACTGTCTGATCACTTGGTGGAGATAAGGTGTTGCTCTAAATTTTAAAGTGCAATATGATACCCACCCACTAGTTTCATTCTTGTCTATAAGTAACAAAACTTCGAATGAACCCGCAGGCAAGGCAAAAGCAGTTATTTCTTCACAACTTGACTGAAATCCACTTATTGGTGTGCTATTTAACTCAGTATCAGAAATAGTTCTGTTTAAATTATTAGGTGATACAGAATTACTGCGAAATATTACATCATTCAGTGTGCGTATACCCGTTGATTCCTCCAAAAGTTTAGTAGCTAATGTGATTCCATTTTCAGTCAATGAATACTCTACCTTTTTCGTTTTGCTCTTAATCACTATTCCCTTTGATATTAATCTACTCATATTCGACCAAGCTGTATAAAATGATTCTGGCTTAGGTCGCACAAATGACTCTTCACTATGTTTCTGCGCTTTTTCTATCAGTTCTTCCTTTGAAAGGGATAATTTACTTGGATTCTCCTGCATGTTTTCTAATAAAGCTATTAGAATAGCATATCCGCCTGATCTATATGCAGGTTTATATGTTTTACTTTTGATTTTCTTCAAAGAGGTAACAGATTCTTGAGAACTAGTGTTTGAAGTTGAGGGAAGATTATCGGAATCGAATTTTTCACTATCAAATCTTTGATTTTGTTCACCAGTGTCTGAAGACTTACTTTTTGGACAAACAGTTTTATTTTCTTTGCAGTCTTGGTCTACCTTGATTTGTTTAGCTGACACCTCAGCTGATTCAGAAATTAGATTAGGTTTTATGCTTTTATTGCTATTATGACATTCTAGGCATTTATCCAGGAACATGCACAATTTTTTATTAAAACCTTTAAGAATTATACATTCCGCACCCGTTTCAAGTGGTAAAGGGTATTTAGATAGCGAATCTAAAGCTTCCTTTAGCATTGGTTCCAATTTACTATTAGTGTTCTTAGCATCCTCATAAAGCTTTTCCAAACTTTCTTGAAAAAACGGATTTGGTCTCTTCCGTTTCACACTAATTCTTTCGTTGTTTCCGACAACAACGGCCATTTTATCTTCGTCTCAGGAAGATTCGGCACTGTCAATTAAAGTAAAACAAGGGTTTTAAAGTAAAAATAAAATGTTATTTTAAAAAATAGACAATACAACCACAGTTCTTTTTTTTTTTATATATCTTTTTTCCCATCTTGGGAAAGGCAAAGGCAGAGCCATGCAGCCATAGTCTTCATTTAAAGGATTTTTTTTTGTTTCTTTTTTCTATAAGGACAACCACAGTTCGTACACCTGCTTTTGACAGAAGTGATGATAATGGTGTCGATTCTGTCATGATTCTTAAATTGGGCAATCTCTGTCATTCTATATACAAAATGAAAAGGACAGACTGATGTTAAATATTGTTTTAAGTTTAGAGAATCCTGTCCCAATCGACACCAAAGTTTGTATTCCGTAATATATACCAGCATACTGGCCAGTGCTAATGACGTCATGAATCGACGTTATATTGGTAATTGTTCAAAAATATACTGGCTAGTGCACTGACATTATAAATCGACAAAATATTAAAAATAGTGCGAATAAAGAAGATTTTTTTTTATTCACTTCATCGATTCATGACGCCATTAGCACTGTCCAGTATACTGGTTTAAATTACGGAATATACACTTAGGCCCGTATTACAGAATGACAACTAAAGTGTTGATCTTTACTTGAGTACAGTTAGAAAGGGATATCGTTATGTGCTATATATAGCGACATCCCTTTCTAACTATGCTCAAGACTAGATCAATCACTGAGAATATTTCTTTAATACGGGCCTAAATGTCAAAGGCCGCGTTTCTAGATAAAGGCAGAAACATATTTACGTGTCGTGGCGTGTCGTGATGACGCGATAGAAGCACATCGGTTTCATACCATACATTTACTATGAATTTTAGAGACACTTTTGTATTGGTCATGTCGTGCCTGTCGACACGTAAATATGGCTCTAAATATAGTAAATCTATGCAACCGATGTGCTTCGGGCGCATCACGACACTCTACGACACGTTAATATGTTATTGCCTTAACTTTTTTGTCATTTACAGTGTGTAACAAAAGAGAAAATCTCATGTCTATTAATGCTTTTCGAACAAGTAGGTTAATGGTGTTTTAATAAAGCAGTAGTGGATCCGTCAATAGCTCGGTGATTATCACTTCCATGGCAAATATGTCTACTGGTATAGTTTATTATTGTCTAAATCGTTCGTTCATTACGGGTGTATTCCGAAATATAAACCAGTACGCTGAGCAGCGGTAATGACGTCATGATTTCGACGCCATATTGCACTGGTGTAGTAGTAGGGTACGGCCAGAGTGCACTCAGATTCAGATTCCGAAAACAAGCGCGAGAAATAAACAGTGTAGTCGAAGGGTACGGCCAGAGTGCACTTCTGATTCAGATTCAGATTCAGACTCAGAAAACAAAGCGCGAGAAAAAGCAGGCAACCTGCTTAGACTACACTGTTTATTTCTCGCGCTTGTTTTCAGAATCTGAATCTGAATCTGAATCTGAGTGCACTCTGGCCGCACCCGTAGTGTTGTCATTAAGGCGTCGAAATCATGACGTCATTACCACTGGCCAGCGTACGGTGTTTGATTCGGAATACACCCTACATCTAGACTAATTCCGCTCAGTAGACCTATTCGCTAACTGCTTTTGACAGCTGGAAGTGTTAATTATCGGCTATTTGATGATTCACTACTACTTTATTACAACGCCACTAACATAATTGTTCTGAAAAGCATCAATGGAAATGCAATTTTCACTTTGCACACCGTAAATGTCAAAAAAGTTAACGAATAAGCCGGCAGATCAGTCTTAAGTAAATTGGAACGTAGCCCAGCTTTTGATTGTTACTGTCACATAATTGTCAATGACACTGTGTCGATAATACGACCAAATTAAAATTGGATTGAATATAATAAAGACCTTTTTTGTCTCACTCTATTCCGGTTAAACAGGAGTGAGATGTTAGTATAAGGGTCGCCATTTTTAATCCCATTTATTAATTGATAGTGTTATACTTGTATAGAAGAGAGGAGAGGAATCAAAATTTTGTTAGCTAAAACACGTCGTGTGCAATGTTTCAATCTGTTTTACTATGCTTGGAGTGAATTCTGTATAATTGTGACGCAGTATTGTTCATTTTTGTAATGTAGAACGTGTGTCTTAGAAACTCCATCATAATGTCGCTCGAAATACCATTGATGAGCACTGATGAGGTAATTGTATAGTGTGAACTATTTAGTTAATTACTAAGGTTTTTAACTCTTTTTTCTAATTATTCTGCTATCAATCAGGTGATCGAATTAGATCCCGATCAGTTGCCGTCAGGTGATGAAGTGCTTAGTATATTGCAACAAGAACGTTCGCAATTGAATGTTTGGATAAATGTTGCGGTAAGTGCCCTAGTCTTAACCTACAAGTGTGTACAGTCGTGTACTTTGGCACGGCATTAACGTAATTTGTGTTATTTCAGCTTGCCTACTATAAACAGAAAAAAATCGATGATTTTCTCAAAATACTGGAGGAGTCCCGTGTGGACGCGAACATTGATTATCGAGACTTTGAAAGAGATCAAATGCGTGCATTGGACATGTTGGCTGCTTATTATGTACAGGAGGCCAACAAAGAAAAGCCGAAGGACAAGAAAAAAGAGTTGTTTACTAAAGCAACCTTGTTGTACACAATGGCAGATAAAATTATTATGTATGACCAGGTAAATATTACAGTTTCAATTTAACAATCTTCTGTGGCATTTAATATCCATACTAGAATTCATAGTAAATATTTTACCATTTTTTATTGGTATTTGTAATTTTTTATAGAATCATCTTCTTGGACGAGCTTACTTTTGCCTCCTTGAAGGTGATAAAATGGAACAAGCTGATGCACAGTTTAATTTTGTCCTGAACCAATCCCCAAACAATGTGCCGTCGTTACTTGGTAAAGCCTGTATTGCATTTAATCGTAAAGATTACAGGGGTGCATTAGCATTCTATAAAAAAGCGCTTAGGACAAATCCTGACAGCCCGGCTGCTTTACGGCTTGGTATGGGCCACTGTTTTATGAAGCTCAATAATCAGGAAAAAGCAAGGTATGTTCATTGCAATAATAAAAGCCTTTATTGATGTTTTTTTGTTTTTACATTTCTTTTTATATTTACCGTTTTGTTAACTTTATAGTTTGTCTTGCTCTTCAGCATAAGCCTCCTCTGTCAGCCAAAATGGACTACATTTTGCATATCTTATCCAAGTAATTTATTTTCTCATTTGTCTTCCTCTTCTCCTATGGCCATCTCTCTCAGATACCATTTAATGTTGTGTTTTGCTCATTTTCCTTTTGTGTTCACACTACATGACCTGACCATTTCCATTTTAAACTTTTGTTGTGCTTGTGACATCTTTTAATTTTTTTCCTTTTTCAAATTTTCGCTAGTCTTAATTTTATCATATTTAGTATATAAACAATATAATATTATGTTTAGTATATTACTTTCCATGTTATGCTGACACTTTCTTTTTGATTTAAATTAATTTTAATACTCATTCTAAATTAAATTAAGTACAATTTAATGATGTAGCTATTTCAAGTACATTAATAAATCTTTATTTGTATCATTTAACTTTTTAACTATGAATTGTAGTATTTAACTACAAATGAAAATAAACTTTGTGTATAATACTTCATATTGCTCTGATCATAAGTTTCCTTTTTTCATCAGTAAATGTCAATCAGATAAAGGTAATTTTTTATTGACATAATAATTTTATATTTATTACTGGTTTTTTTTATCATATATAAACCATTTGGCATTTTACATGGAGTTATGGCATTAGTTTAATTAAATTAAAACCATGTAATTCAAATAATTATAATTTTCTCAGAATGGCCTTTGAAAGGGCTTTACAGTTGGACCCACAATGTGTAGGAGCATTGGTTGGACTTTCTATTCTCAAATTGAATCTTCAAGAAAATGAATCAAACAAAATGGCTGTTATCATGTTGTCCAAAGCCTATGCTATTGACCCCAAAAATCCTATGGTCTTGAATCACTTAGCCAATCACTTCTTTTTCAAAAAGGTTTGTTTATTTTTATTACCAGTAAATTTATGTGCAAAGTTACTATGTAAGTTTAAAACTGAAGGAGGTTCAGTTCAATGGTACATGGTTTTCTTTTCTTTAAGGCTCTCTGAACTAAAATCGTGCTTTTAAACTTAACACCTATGTAATAATAATTTGAAAATCTTTAATTTTAGTATCAAAGGAAAGTAGGTATTTAAATATTTTTGGGATGATGTACAATACATATGTAGGTACAAATTTATTATACTAGCTTTATCCCACGATTTATGGAATTATTGATATGAGTAGCTTTTTTTATCCAATCTGCTCGCAATTAAAATAATGGAAGTGTATCAGTTTTCATTGGAAAACATAAATAAAGTCTACAATCATAATTAAAGTGAACAGGTCAATGAAAGATTGAGTGTTACAGACCTATGAATGGATTTGAGCCCATGCTTTTGAGTACAACTTGTTTACATATAACCTTTAAAGTGTTTTCTGGTGTTTTCAGGACTACAGCAAAGTTCAGCATTTAGCTTTACATGCTTTCCATAATACGGAGAATGAAGCGATGCGCGCTGAGAGTTGTCACCATCTTGCAAGAGCGTTTCATGCACAAGGTGATTGCGATCAGGCTTTCCAGTATTACTATCAAGCGACGCAGTTTGCTCCTCCAAATTTCGTTCTACCCCACTATGGACTGGGGCAAATGTATATCTACAGAGGAGACACTGAAAATGTTAGTACATATTTACATTTATATTATTTTATTATTGCTTTTAGTTCTGTCTAACTTTGAGACAATATATTCTGTCAGTTAGATTATCAAAAAATAACAGATAAATATTTTTTTTCAACAACTCAACTTCCGTTTCATCAAATTTCAAGTCACAACAATACTAAAGAAGTTTTCACTTCAAAAAAGTTATTCATCATCCCTATCTTATATATATCTTATCTTCGTTATCTTATTTGGAGTCTTAATTTTTTTTTATCAGGCTGCACAATGCTTTGAAAAGGTATTGAAAGCGCAACCCGGAAATTACGAGACCATGAAGATCTTGGGTTCCTTGTACGCCAACTCGCCGTCGCAATCTAAACGTGACATAGCTCGTCAACATCTAAAGAAAGTAACGGAACAATTCCCAGACGATGTGGAGGCGTGGATTGAATTAGCACAAATATTGGAACAAAACGATTTACAGGTTTGAATCTTGAACAAACATGATTTGTTTAGTTATTATCTTCTTTTTGTCATAATAATGATCATATTGTTAAAATACCAAATTAATGCAAGTGACTTCAAACAAGATGGCAGTGCTGCTTAAATAAGTAACCACTACGTTTATAATCATTTTTAGGGTTCCTTGAATGCCTATAGCACAGCAATGAAGATTCTCAAAGAGAAAGTTGATGCGGACATTCCTGCTGAAATCTTAAACAATGTAGCTGCCTTACATTACAGGCTAGGAAACTTGAATGAAGCTAAAAACTACCTAGAAGAAGCTCTTGAGAGGTAAGACCTTAGACAAGAATGATGTTTTAAAACTTTTTCAACACATTTGCTCAAAAAATGCTTTTACCATAATAATATGGTTACCATAATAATTGGAAGGTACTAACTATAAAATGAATTTATTTAGCTACTTAAATATGCCGATGTGTCATATTTTTGACTACCAGGATATTATTTTACGGTGTCATATCTTTTGACTACCAGGTTTTTTTTACGGTGTCATCTCTTTTGACTACCAGGATTTTTTTTAAGGTGTCATAATGGCTAGGCTAGTTTTTCATAGATCTATCGATTCATACTAATTATATTATTGGCGGAGCTGGGTGTATTTTGCCCATTGTCCTTTCGGTTGAACCTTCTTAGAAGCGCTTTTAATCTATACCTTTGTCTCATTTTCATACGTGATGTATTTCTATTTTCACCACTCGCTCGTGGTACCATTTGGAAATTGGCGCCATTTTCTTATTATAGAACAGTTTGCTTTATTACATAAATGAGGTATACCTAGGTACTATTTTCTCGCAAAATTTAAAAAACGTATGACATTCGAGAGTATGGTAAGACCTCGATTTTATAATAATCAACTTACCGCACTAATATCATAAATAACTATTAATGATTTCTTTGAATAACCTTAATATACATATTAAAGTTTTAATTAAAACATTCATGGTTGGAAAAGAGTTTTGTTACGTCACATGACATTTTACTTAAGCTTTTAAGGGGAAAGCAAAGTTAGTCAGAATATTAGTGGTGGGACTGAAATTGAAAGGTTATGTATTACAAATAAGTAACCTTATTAAAATCCAATAAAACTCAATTTTGCTTAATATAGCAAAATTTAATTAACGATTACATTTCGTTTTAGGGAGAAGGCAGATGCTGAAACTTTGGATGCCCAGTATTATAATTCAATAGCTGTTACAACTATGTATAATTTGGCTCGACTTAACGAGGCGTTGTGTGTATACAATAAGGCGGAAAAACTCTACAAAGACATATTGAAGGAACATCCCAATTACATAGATTGCTATTTAAGGTAAATATCTTTATTTAAGCGGTAATCTGCTTTCACACTCTACAAATAGAACAAATAAATCTCCGAATGTTTAACAATAACAATTTTGGTGAAACCATACTAGCGCAGAGCCGAAGCGCATCGCAGCGTTAATCAGAAACGTAACATAGCAAATTGACCTTTATTTCCGCAATGCTATGCACATATTCCTTCTGCGACAAAAATAAGTCGGCTCAGAATGAATATTGTAGCGTCAGCGAGCACTTTGTATCTAGAACATGCGAAGCATAGTATTTACAGCTGATGCACATCAATATTAGTTAAGAGAAACAGTATATAAGATGCAAATCAGAATAAATGTTGTTTAGTTATCAAGCGACACCCTGGCTGAAGAGATGAAAATCTCCCTTCACTAGGAGACAAACTATTATGTGCATTAGGTTGCGGAGATAAGGGTGAAACGTTTCTGAATGACGCTTCGATGCGCTTCGACTCTGCGCTAGTATGAATTGACCATGAGTGTATTCCGTAATATATACCAGTATACTGGCCAGTGCTAATGACGTCATGAATAAACGCTATACTGGTGAATTGTTCCGAAATATATTGGTCAGTGCACTGACGTCATAAATCGACGAAATATTAAAAAGAGTGCGAATAAATAAGATTTTTTATTCACTTCATCAATTAAAAGGAATTCTTTTTGTTCGGATGCCATTATTATTCTTTAAATAATAAAGAAATAAAATTCGAATGCATCTCACGCACGCTCGGTCATACGTCATATTCGTTTCCCCGGTAAAAATATGGTAGCATACCAGTACAAGATGGCGTCGGATTCGTGGCGTCATTACTACTGGCCAGTATACTGATGTATATTTCGGAATACACCCCATATCTTTTTATGAATCAATAGGTTAGGCTGTATGGCTCGAGACAAAGGTCAAATCTATGAGGCCTCTGATTGGTTCAAAGAGGCGTTGAAGGTGAACACTGAACATCCCGATACTTGGTCGTTGCTAGGCAACCTGCATTTAGCCCAGCAAGAGTGGGGACCGGGCCAAAAGAAATTCGAGAGGATATTGCAGAATGCTTCCACTTCTACAGACGCTTACTCGCTCATAGCCTTAGGTATGTAAATACAAAACATTCTAATCAAATCGATGTAAAATCAATACCTGCCTTTGCCTTGTGAAAAGTATTTCGAGCTGTTAAGAGTAAGCATGTTAAGAAAGAAAAAAAAACCCCGCAAAGTGCGAGTCGGACTCGCGCACCGAGGGTTCCGTACAAACCTGTAGGTATATAATAATTATAAAAAAATATGTGATATTATTAAAAAATTACAGTTTTCGCATTTTTCCTTTATCTGTGCTATAAGACGTTGCTTCGTATCAAATTTCAAGATTCTTTCAAGAGTTCACGGGAAGTACCCTATAGGTTTTGATTCTCTTGCGAGTTTCAAATTTTGCGGAAATTTGCGGCATTACGGCTCTTTTGATTGCATTGGCTTAGAAGTTTGATTTTTTCACAGCCTTCAGCTTGATACCTCCACGCATTCATGAGAAAATCGATCTTGACAGACGGACGGACGGACGAGGGTTCCATTTTTCCTTTCCAGATATGGAACCCTAAAAAGAACGTATTTCCGCGTTAAATCGCGCACATTCCTGAAGGCCTACCGCCTATCGGGATTGCTATGGCTATAGCTTCTGAGTTCATTTTGTTATTTCTGACCGCTGAAGGTTTTCAAATTCCTCACACAAGCAAAGAAAAAAAGGAGCGCGGGGCATTTAAACCCTTCGGCGGCCAGAAATACCGAAATGAAATCTTAAGCTATAGCCATAGAAATCCCGATAAGCGGTAGTCCGCTAGTAGCTATTGAATTAAACTACCATTATATTAATTCTGCATATTGAGTTTTTTCAGTAATTGTTTTTGCACTATGCTGAGAATTATTATATATAAGTTATAGATTGTATAAGTTAAGGTGTAAAAATGTTGGCAGACCTTTAAAAAATAATTTATATAAATTATTTTTTTATGGATAAAAGAGACCTTATTACCTACAGCTTAAATAATTCGGTAAAAATTTCAACATTGCCATTCAGGCAATCACACTAATGGCCAGTGATAAGTTGGTTGGTAATTGCTTTTGCTATTTTGGAATTACTTAACAAAAGTAAAAAGGCCAATCTCTTAGTGGATGTCTCATAATTTATTTTACTATTTTCCTCATGTCAGGTAATGTATGGCTACAAACTTTACACCAGCCATGTCGCGAGAAAGACAGAGAGAAGCGACATCAAGAGAGAGCACTCGATATGTACAAACGGGTGCTGAAAACAGATCAGAGAAATATATGGGCCGCTAATGGAATTGGCTGTGTTCTTGCGCATAAGGTGAGTTCTTAAAAGTAAACAATGCCGTTTGAAACAGTTTGCTGTCGTTTGTTTGATTTTGTTACATAAAGTGCCGTACATTTAAAGTTCACAGAACCTATAGTGCGGCGTTGTTTGATTTTGTTACATAAAGTATCGTACATTTAAATTTCACAGAACCTATAGTGCGGCGTTGTTTGATTTTGTTACATAAAGTGTCGTACATTTAAAGTTCACATAACCTATAGTGCGGCGTTATATGATTTTGTTACATAAAGTGTCGAACATTTAAAGTTCACAGAACCTATAGTGCGGCGTTGTTTGATTTTGTTACATAAAGTGTCTTACATTTAAAGTTCACAGAACCTATAGTGCGGCGTTGTTTGATTTTGTTACATAAAGTGTCTTACATTTAAAGTTCACAAAACCTATAGTCCGGCGTTGTTTGATTTTGTTACATAAAGTGTCTTACATTTAAAGTTCACAGAACCTATAGTGCGGCGTTGTTTGATTTTGTTACATAAAGTGTCGTACATTTAAAGTTCACAGAACCTATAGTACCTATAGTTTTTGAAAATAAAGATGGCCGGTTTAACCAGACTGATTACAACATTTCATCATTCGCTTTATCACTACTCTTCAATTTAGTAGTATTATAATGCGTTCAATGTTTGGGAACAGCTCTCAGTTCTAGGTCTTTTAGGTTTACTTTTTAGAATAGGGTATTTGACAATATTAAAAATAAAGTGCCAATTGTTAGCATCTGTGTTTAGATTGAATATTGGCAGGGGCTTTTTGTATTTTTACAAAAAAAAATATTCATAATTTCACTAAAAACCCACGAAAAAAATAATAGTTTTCTTATCTATTGTCACGTGATCCAAAACGCTTGGGATTGGCGGAGCCTAAAATGACGCCACACGCAAGTAAACTTCCCGTTAAAGTGACATTACATTGTCCCGTTTCACTTTTTAATAACAGTCGTGTGACGTCACATACTTGTAAGACGCCATATTGTCCAGAAAAACGTTTTCGCGGCAACTTGAAGCTGGAGTTTTTGATTTGGTTATTTTTAGTTATTTTTACTGAAATACACAACAGAATGATGAATTTTTTACAGACTCCATAAACATTAGTCAATAACGTGAGATCGTTTTTTAAAACTTGTCAAATACCCTATTATGATTTTAGAATTATCTTTATATATATAATTCTTCTGTGAGTGTGTATGTCACAACTTCTCTTAAACGACTGGACCGATTTTTATTGAAATTTTTTGTGCGTGTTCAAGGGGATCTGAGAATGGTTTAGATTCACAATTTTGTCCGCTGGACAATGTTTAGTTAATTAATTTTTAATTTATTAGTAGTTGTTGATTTTGGAATGTTTTACATTGGATCCGACAGACGGCGCTACCATCGCAGTGTCAAATATTAAATAACATTCAATTTTAAAAGGTTTTAAAAAATAAAAAACCGATTTTACGCCCCTAGCTCCATCTAGTGGCAAAGTGCTATTGGGAACGCGCACCGTTACGTTGCGTGTTCCAGAGTTGGAAAACCATCGAATTTATTTATTTATACACCTCAGGGTTTAACCAAAAATATTGTACATCCAATGGCATTACGATAAATTAAGTTTTTGTAAATAAAAAAAATATATTTTTTAAATAAAATAGTTTGAGTGTAAGCTTTTTTACCTTTAATTAAAACAAGTTGAAGATTTCATTACACATACTCACACGCTATCGATTAGTCTAATTGTAATAAATTTACATGTAATGACGTTAGATATTGTCATAACATTTGAATAATAATTTTCATCAAAATGGTCCAGAATGTTTTAGCTTATTAAAAAAAGTTTGAAATTTTCAAATTAAAGACGTGTAGACAGGACAACGTCTGTCGGGTCCGCTAGTATGCATATAAAATTCGACCTATTTATGATGTATTTTCCTTTTGTCTCAGAGGAATTTGAATGGAGTATAGTTTTTAATCATATAAAATGAATGCAATGATGTTTTCTAGGGCTGTGTGAACGAAGCTCGCGATATTTTCGCTCAAGTGCGCGAAGCCACCGCTGATTTTCCAGATGTATGGATGAACATCGCCCACATATACGTTGAACAGAAACAATACATCAACGCTATACAAATGGTAAGTTTTATGTACGTTTGTGTCTGTCTTAAATCAGTCGTACATTTGATTCATTTTATCATCTAATTGCAGTTTATAGCCACTACAATGTATATTCTGTCTCTATGTGACAGTCTGACATTCGCATGAAATAAAGCTTTCATTGGAGTAGCAAACTTGGGTTGCGTGCTCTCACGGCCTAGCGTCTTAGTAAATTTATTACTGTTATTCTTTATATGTACTCTACAACGTGTTGTCAAATATTTGTTTAGTACGAGAACTGCATCCGCAAGTTCCGCATGCACCACGACGTGGAATGGCTCACTTGGGTAGCGCGCGCCCACGGGCTCGCGTCCCGTCCGGGGGCCGCGCGGGCCGCCTTACTGCGCGCGCGCCGCGTGGCCCCGCACGACCCCGCGCTCACCTACAACACGGCGCTCACGCTGCGCCGCCTCGCCGCGCACGTGCTCAAGGACGAGCGCTCCGAGCTGAGCCACGTGCTGCGCGCCGTGCACGAGCTGCAGGTGTCTCACAGGTGAGGGCAGGGTGCTGCTGTACGACAGTGTATGTATCCTCCACGGGCTCGCGTCCCGTCCGGGGGCCGCGCGGGCCGCCTTACTGCGCGCGCGCCGCGTGGCCCCGCACGACCCCGCGCTCACCTACAACACGGCGCTCACGCTGCGCCGCCTCGCCGCGCACGTGCTCAAGGACGAGCGCTCCGAGCTGAGCCACGTGCTGCGCGCCGTGCACGAGCTGCAGGTGTCTCACAGGTGAGGGCAGGGTGCTGCTGTACGACAGTGTATGTATCCTCCACGGGCTCGCGTCCCGTCCGGGGGCCGCGCGGGCCGCCTTACTGCGCGCGCGCCGCGTGGCCCCGCACGACCCCGCGCTCACCTACAACACGGCGCTCACGCTGCGCCGCCTCGCCGCGCACGTGCTCAAGGACGAGCGCTCCGAGCTGAGCCACGTGCTGCGCGCCGTGCACGAGCTGCAGGTGTCTCACAGGTGAGGGCAGGGTGCTGCTGTACGACAGTGTATGTATCCTCCACGGGCTCGCGTCCCGTCCGGGGGCCGCGCGGGCCGCCTTACTGCGCGCGCGCCGCGTGGCCCCGCACGACCCCGCGCTCACCTACAACACGGCGCTCACGCTGCGCCGCCTCGCCGCGCACGTGCTCAAGGACGAGCGCTCCGAGCTGAGCCACGTGCTGCGCGCCGTGCACGAGCTGCAGGTGTCTCACAGGTGAGGGCAGGGTGCTGCTGTACGACAGTGTATGTATCCTCCACGGGCTCGCGTCCCGTCCGGGGGCCGCGCGGGCCGCCTTACTGCGCGCGCGCCGCGTGGCCCCGCACGACCCCGCGCTCACCTACAACACGGCGCTCACGCTGCGCCGCCTCGCCGCGCACGTGCTCAAGGACGAGCGCTCCGAGCTGAGCCACGTGCTGCGCGCCGTGCACGAGCTGCAGGTGTCTCACAGGTGAGGGCAGGGTGCTGCTGTACGACAGTGTATGTATCCTCCACGGGCTCGCGTCCCGTCCGGGGGCCGCGCGGGCCGCCTTACTGCGCGCGCGCCGCGTGGCCCCGCGCGACCCCGCGCTCACCTACAACACGGCGCTCACGCTGCGCCGCCTCGCCGCGCACGTGCTCAAGGACGAGCGCTCCGAGCTGAGCCACGTGCTGCGCGCCGTGCACGAGCTGCAGGTGTCTCACAGGTGAGGGCAGGGTGCTGCTGTACGACAGTGTATGTATCCTCCACGGGCTCGCGTCCCGTCCGGGGGCCGCGCGGGCCGCCTTACTGCGCGCGCGCCGCGTGGCCCCGCACGACCCCGCGCTCACCTACAACACGGCGCTCACGCTGCGCCGCCTCGCCGCGCACGTGCTCAAGGACGAGCGCTCCGAGCTGAGCCACGTGCTGCGCGCCGTGCACGAGCTGCAGGTGTCTCACAGGTGAGGGCAGGGTGCTGCTGTACGACAGTGTATGTATCCTCCACGGGCTCGCGTCCCGTCCGGGGGCCGCGCGGGCCGCCTTACTGCGCGCGCGCCGCGTGGCCCCGCACGACCCCGCGCTCACCTACAACACGGCGCTCACGCTGCGCCGCCTCGCCGCGCACGTGCTCAAGGACGAGCGCTCCGAGCTGAGCCACGTGCTGCGCGCCGTGCACGAGCTGCAGGTGTCTCACAGGTGAGGGCAGGGTGCTGCTGTACGACAGTGTATGTATCCTCCACGGGCTCGCGTCCCGTCCGGGGGCCGCGCGGGCCGCCTTACTGCGCGCGCGCCGCGTGGCCCCGCACGACCCCGCGCTCACCTACAACACGGCGCTCACGCTGCGCCGCCTCGCCGCGCACGTGCTCAAGGACGAGCGCTCCGAGCTGAGCCACGTGCTGCGCGCCGTGCACGAGCTGCAGGTGTCTCACAGGTGAGCGCATGGGGCTGCTGTACGAGATTGTATGCCTCGCACATCGAGTTTTTGAGAATAAAATATCGAAACGTCAATATAATCTACTCTTTCGACTATATATGGCCTTCCGGCGTGCATTAGATGTTCTAGCTAGATGACCTCGTATATGAAGTTTAACTCTTTTATAATAGATATTGTCATTGATAACCAGAGTAAGCTGTCCGATTATATTATTACGACATTATTTCTTTGGTTGCACTTCCTAAGAGATTAAAAAATACAATGGAATTGCGTGAAATATTTTCTTCAGATTTAAACATCAAGCAGTAACATGCTTAAAAAAAAATATAACTATAGATACATTATATTTTTTCAATGCTTGTATTTCTTTTTAAATATTCACATGTCTGTAAAAAATACCTACAGTTCTATTTCATTCCGAAAACATCTATGTTTTTTAACATATCGATGTTATGCAATTGATGTTTTTCGAACATCGATGATTTTCTAATATCGAGCATTCCTAGGCTATTGTATTACAACCGCTGCAATCGCATCACTACTACAAGCAAAACGCGCTTGTGTGAGTGAGCACTGGCTGCCTATCACGTACGCAGTCACACGTCAGTGCCAGTGCTCATGTTTTTTTTTATAGCTAGGTACGCAAATGACTCTATCCCACCTGATGTTAAGTGGTGATAAAGTCCAAACGCGAAGATAGCAATAGAAGTGCAGGACTCACGGCACACTCGCACGCAATATGGTTTACTGTACTTTGCATATGGAAAATAATAGAACGTATATATACCAATTATGATTTTTTTATTTGTATTAGATACCAATTAATGTCTAGCGAGCTTTCTCGAGAACTTTTCAATATTTTTCCAAATAATTATAGGTACTTCCAGCGGCTAGCGTCCGCGGAAGGCGGGGAAGGTACCGAAAGGGCTCGATACGAACCGGCCGCCGCCGCTGCTGAAGCGAGAACGTGCGGCGATCTCCTCTCTCAAGCGCAATGGCACGTGGCCAGAGCGAGACGGCAACACGACGAGGAAGTCACGCTGCGGGACCGGCAAAGGGAACAACGCGAGGCATTCAGGAGACAACAGGTTAGTAATAAAAAACTTACCGCATTAAACATTCTTAATGGACAAAATGCAACGGTCTTCTCTTTCAAGCGCATTAGCATGTCGCCAGAGCGAGACGGCAACACGACGAGGAAGTCACGCTGCGGGACCGGCAAAGGGAACAACGCGAGGCATTCAGGAGACAACAGGTTAGTAATAAAAAACTTACCGCATTAAACATTCTTAATGGACAAAATGCAACGGTCTTCTCTTTCAAGCGCATTAGCATGTCGCCAGAGCGAGACGGCAACATGACGAGGAAGTCACGCTGCGGGACCGGCAAAGGGAACAACGCGAGGCAATCAGTAGACAACAGGTTAGTAATATAAAACTTACCGCGTTAAAGATCCTTAATAGACAAAATGAAACGGTCTTCTCTTTCAAGCGCATTAGCATGTCGCCAGATCGAGACGGCAACTCGACGAAATAGTCATTTTACGAGATCGACTAAGAGAACAACGCGAGGTTTTCAGAGACAACATATTAGTACGATAATCAGGGCAGGGCGGGTGGGCCTGTGGCCCAGGGGCCCTCACAACAGAGATAAAACAACGGCCATGTGTACAGTTCTCATGTGATAGAAGTGAAAACCTACTAAAATATGATTAGGTAACAGTTCTTCATGTCAGAGCTCAAGCACGAACTTTGGCAGCTCCGTGATCGTATTGCATGGTCAAAGTTTCTATGAGAACTAATCAGCGCCTCTACCGGACGTAAGAACAAACTGGCTCTTACCGTTCAAAATTTGACGATATGATTAAGGATCTGATCGTGATTGACTGACTCAACGCACAGCTTAAGTCATTGGATGTAGAGAGTGGAATTTTAACTCGGGTGTTTTTTTTAAGACATACATGTAGGGCGATTCTGTAAAATAAAATTTCACTTCCGATGTCGGTAGCTGCAATTTTAGACATTAGTTTGATATGCATTACGCCATTCCACGGCAGAATGTCGCTATGTCTGTAGAACCAGCCAGTATTAGGTATTTGACATTTGTCAGAAATCCGAATAAATAAGATCGCAGTGAGAGAAGTGAGATTGCATCATAAAGAATACCTGTGCTGGTCCTGAAGGACTTACGTGTTCACATTTTTGTAGGTTTCACTCGTTCTTTTCCTTAGGTTTTATTTACTTTATTCGAAATATTTATTCCCCGGCGGCTCGGCAGCCCGGCCGAGATTTAGGGGCCTCCAATCCTTCGTTGTCCTATACCACACCGAACTTCTAAATCTGACGCTGCACACTTTTTATATAAGATTTAATTGTTCAAACCAAAACACAGGAAGAAGAACGCCGCCGTCGCGAAGAGCAACAACAGAAGAGCACAGTGGAAATGCTCCAGAAGCGTCAAGAGTTCAAGGAGAAGACGAAGAACGCGCTGCTATTCGCCGACATGCCGCCCGAGGGTAAATCTAAGGGCGGCGGCCGCGGGAGGAGGAAGGATGAATATATTTCCGATTCGCCCGGCAGCGGCAGCGATGCACCGAGGGAAGAAGGGTGAGAATATCTATATCTATACTTATAATAAAATGGTAGGAAAGTTAAAACTGTACATTGAATATTTTTTTAAAGAACACTTGGGGTGTGCTCTACAATCGATACCGAAGCCAAAAGTATAGTTTTTAGAATTTTTGTCTGTTTGTCTGTATGTATGTCCGGGATAAACTCAAAAAGTACTGCATGGATTAACTTCAAATTTGGCACGAATATTATTAAGAAGTCGGGTCAACATATAGGCTACATATTATCACGCTATCACCTACAGGGAATGAGTAGTGAACCTTTATTTTTAACTAACTCCACGCGTACGAAGTCGCGGGCGGCCGCTAGTATTATAGTATATGTATATATATGGGTATATAGTTATGTCAGACTGCAACGGACCAGCTCACATAGGGGTATTTTGCTCATGAGTGATGTTGACCTAATGGGGAAGAAAACGCAAAGCTCATTACAGATGGTGCTATGGCCGTTTGGCACAAAACAAGCTACCTGTCACTTCTAGGCTGCGTTCTAAATCTACGCTCTAAATGCAACTTTTTACCCCGAAGTTTCAATTTGACATTTGTTGCACCTGAAACGTAGGTTAAGAACGCAGCCCAAGTCTATCGGAATTTGTCGGTTTTTCTTGTGACTTTGACATCATTCTCCATTTGTAATTATGGGTCATTGGACACCTGCGCTTTTGGTGGGATCAATTAGCAGTTTTCTTTCCCATTAATTGACGACCTCCGTGGCCGAGTGGTATATACGCCGGGTTTCAAGGTGTCGCCTACTCGTGAGGTCCCTGATTTGAATCCCGGTAGGGGCAAATGTTAGTATGATGAATACGAGCATTTGTACCTTAGTCATGGATGTTTATATATATTTCTATTTATTCACTATATGGATAAAATTTTATTAAATTTAATCAAATATAATAATATGTATTTGTGCGGGACAGAAAGTGATTTGGACTTACGATTTTTTATTTTTTCTCCGATAGCCTCTAGAGCAGCGCTGGTCTGCCTGTATTTTCGTAAGTTTCCGGATGTTGTAGGAATGTTATCTTGAGCTAGTCCTAACTGTCCTTCACGTAATCTTGGTGATTTGATGATGTTCCTTTGCGCTCGTTGAACAACCGACGCGCTGACTATATGTAATTTGGATCGGGGCTTTTCATAAGTCGTCCGATCGCTGTGGCGTCGTAGTAGTAACAGGCAGCTGACAGATACTACCTGTCTACCCTCGTATTACAATAAAAAATCGTCCAAGGGATAGGAAAAGGTGGGTAAGCGGATGTAATGTTACGTTATACGCATTCAATATATTTGAAACCGAACATGACCGCCCCCCAAAGAGCTGCTAAGCTCTTTAGCATATTCTAAAATTGACGAGTTGATTTTCCGAATAAAGTTGATTTCAATTCCAAAACTAACCGAGTTGATTTTCCGAATTAAGCTGAATTCCGCATGGGTAAGAATGCAAAATCCAATAAAAACTCTTAATAAAGTTGATTTACCGATAGGATTGATTGCACAAACCGCTGATGTACCATGAAGTTTAAATTAAAATGTATATAAAAATTATGTTTAATAACAAAGCTAAGTTAAAAAAAAGTAATTAAGTATATAAAATATGTTTTAAATTAATTTGTATCGCATTTTGGCAATGGACACACCTTAGTTAACGATCTGAGACAAGACCCGGAACTGGTCCTAATCTCTACAACGCGTACCACGCCATCTGTTCCAGGATGGAGCGCAGATACTCGTCCCTTTCGCCACCTAAGGGGTGTAGTGTGATCGTCTTTAATTAAAACCAGGTCACCCAACATCAAATTGGGGATGGTTTTACACCATTTAGCGCGCTGTTGCAGATTGTGAAGATATTCACCCTGCCATCTTTGCCAAAAGTGATGCGAGATTTGTTGCACTAGCTTCCAACGTTTGAGTAATGGGACTTGAGAATCATCAGATGCTTCCTCTGGTAAGCTGACCAAAGGCTGACCGATAAGATAATGACCAGGAGTCAAAGTATCAAGATTGGACACGTCATCTGTAAGAGGACATAACGGTCTAGAGTTCAAAACAGCCTCGGCTCTAGCAAACACAGTGGACAACTCTTCGTAAGTGAGAACCTGCTCACCAACTGTGCGCAACAATAACTGTTTTGCCGACTTGACCGTCGACTCCCAAAGCCCACCCATGTGTGGGGCGTAAGGCGGATTCATGTGCCAAGTGACACCCAATTGATCCGAAAGCAACCTCTGAGCCTTCAAGTAATTAGCAGCCCCTTGAAAGTTTTTGCCGCAATCCGAGTAAACATCCGAAGGCATTCCTCTTCTCGCGACAAATCTATGAAAACAAGCCAAAAAGGCTTGGGTTGTTAAGTCAGAAGTGACTTCAAAGTGAACAGCCTTCACGGCAAGGCATACGAAGACACAAAGATAAGCTTTGAGTGTCTTCGCCCTGCGCATACAAGAAGCCTTTATGGTGAATGGACCTGCAAAGTCGACCCCTACTCTGGTGAATGGATGACTCAGCCGTATTCGACTGGGTGGAAGATTACCCATAAAAGGTTCCAGAGGTTTTGCCTTTAGCCTGTAACAGCGATGGCACTGAAACACTCGGTTTCGAACAACCCGTCGAGCAGACAAAATCCAAAACTTCTGGCGAAGAATGTTTACGAGTATAGAGGGACCCGCATGAAGATGGAGCAGGTGATGATAATCAATGATTAGATGAGTAAGATGATGCGACTTAGGTAATAACAGTGGATATTTCACAGTGTAAGTCAAATTGGAGTGCCTGAGTCTTCCGCCAACGCGAAGAAGACCGTGTGCATCAATAAAAGGATCAAGGCGCTGCAATGGGCCCGAAACAGATCGACCTTTATTGATGGCTGAGATGTGGTCGGCAAAGACTTCACCTTGCACCAACTTGACAAGTATTAAAAGAGAATTGCTGAGTTCATGGACCGTAAGAGGTCCCTTGGTTCGAGAGTTGGCAGATCGTGCGTTAGAAATAAAACGCAGAAGCCAAGCAGTGATACGTTGTAACCGAGAAAAGGAACTATATTTTGTGATAAGTGAGTGTCCGAGGGGATTGACTTCAACTGCAGCCAATGAGGAAATAGCTTCTGGTTTCAGACCAGGCAATGCTGAGGTATCGACGCATGGATTCGTAGGCCAGGTGGATGGATCATCCTTTAACCAAAAAGGAGACCACCACAGCTGATGACCTACGAGGACATCGGCAGTAACGCCTCTACTCGCGCAATCGGCAGGATTGGATGCGGAGGGTACGTATCGCCATTTTGCGGATGGTATTAAGCCCTGGACCTGGGAAACACGATTTCCCTCAAAGGTCTGCAATTTGTGCGGTGAAGTGCGCAACCATGCTAAAACGATGGTGAAGTCGCACCACGCAGTGACACCACTTATGCTAATTTTACCATTAAATAGTTCTAAATAGTGACCGATCAGACGAGCCAGAAGCAAAGCACCGCAAAGCTCGAGCCGTGGGATGGTTAGCTTCTGTCGCATAGGAGCAACTCTTGACCGACCGCGAAGGAGATGAACACTGACCTCGCCGGAAGAGTGCTGAGTACGAAGATAGATAACTGCGGCGTAACCGCTTTCGGATGCATCGCAGAATCCCATGATCTCTGATGCGTATGGTTGTGTACTGAGTATGTATCGTGGTATTTGTGGCAACTTAACGTGCTTAAATGCTTCGGAGAATGAATCCCACAGCATGATGATTTCATCGGGAAGTTGATCGTCCCAGGATATTTGTAAGGCACAGACACGTTGCATCAGAACCTTAGCGTAAAACGTAACAGGTGCTAAATAGCCGCACGGGTCATAGATGCGCGCTATGTTAGATAGAATTTCTCGCTTAGTCCTGCATCTACTGACACTTGAAACCTGATAAACGAAACTATCCGAATCCGAATTCCATGCCACTCCTAATACCTTAAAAATGCTTTCTCCGGACTCTTCAAAGCGAAGAGGCTTCTCCAGGTGATCATCAGGATATGCAGCCAGAATATCAGAATTGTTGCTAGCCCATTTGCGTAGCTGAAAACCTCCCCCAGCTAGAACTTCTACCAACTGCTGCTGAAGACATTTGGCAGATGGAACATCAGAGGTACCTGTAATAACGTCATCAACGAAGGTATCATTCCTCAATGCCTCCGCTGCAGCAGGATACTGCTCAGCATTAAGCGCAGCTAGCTCGTGTATGACGCGCATAGCCAAATAAGCTGCAGGAGTGACTCCATATGTGACTGTAGTCAGCTCAAACTGTTGGATAGGCTGATCAGGAGACTCACGCCAGAAGATGGTGTGATACTTGCTATCATCTTCATGTAGCTGAACTTGACGATACATCTGCTTTATATCACATGTGAACACGATAGCATGAGTTCTGAAGCGCAATATGATATCCTCGACATGCTGTTGTAACTTTGGACCAGCCATCAAAAGCTGATTAAGTGAAACACCAGAGCTAGTAGGCGCGGAAGCGTCGAATACAGCACGAAGCTTAGTGGTGCTGCTACTTTCCTTTAATACACCGTGGTGTGGAATATAATAACGATCTGCTGAATCGCCCGGAGTAACGGGACGCATATGACCTGCTTGAAGGTAATCTCTCATGAACTCTATGTAGAGCTCTCTGAGACGGTTATCCTTGCTGAGTTTCCGTTCTAAGTTATAAAATCGCTTAAGAGCATTATCAATTTAGAGCCCAGAGCTATGCGCCCCGACTTGAAAGGTAAGCGCACTATAAACCTACCATTAGAATTGCGAGAATGAGTCTCTACAAAATGTTTTTCGCAAAGCATATCCTCAGGATCCTGTACGTGATGTGCTGGAACCTCCTCAACCTCCCAAAACCTTGAAAGAATGGAGTTGAGATCAGCAGTACAGGCCATTGATAGAGCTTGATGCGAAATGTCAGAGTCCAATGGGGCTCTACCCATCAGAATCCAGCCAAAAATAGATGAGTATGCTGAAGGAAATCCTTCACCTAAAGATAGCTTGCGTCCGTTAAATATTTGTTCATAGAGCTCTACCCCTATAAGAATATCTATGGGTCCAGGTACAGAAAATTTGTCATCAGCCAACTGGATGTCTCTACATCTTCTAGCGACCTCTTGAGAGATTTTAGTGCTAGGAAGAACACCAGTAATATGCTTTAGTATAACTGCAGTGGTTTCCAATGGCGGAGAGGTTGGCTCCATTATAGATTGTATGGCACACTGGATACTTCCATTAGTGCATTGTCCGCTAGACTCTCCCAAACCAAAGAGTGTAAAAGGGCTAGAACGAGGTAGCTGCAGTTTCCGTGCTAAAGACTCAGTGACAATTGTAACCTGTGAACCGCTATCAATTAAAGCTCGAACTTTGTGTAAAATATTATTCGCATCTCGGATACCAACCACAGCCGTTCCCAAAACTACAGTAGATCCCTTGTGGATACTGCATGCAGGGTAAGTCTTCACAGTAGAGCTAAGTGTCGATACTGCAGCCTCTGGCTGGATAGTTGCTTCTTGAGAAGTACGAGTAGTGTTGCCTAAATGAAGTTTTGTATGATGACGGCCATGACAAATTTGACAGCTGCTTTTAGACTGACATTTATTTATAGAATGAGTACGTAAACAATTAAAACACAATTTGTTATCAATGACAAACTTTTTACGATCAGCTGGTGTCATTGAGTTGAATTTGTGACAAGTATAAATACCGTGATCACCTCCGCAGCAGTAACATGTATAAGGGAGTTTGACCATAAATGATTTTGATGAATTTGGTTGAGCGCTATTATGGCTGCTAGAGTAAGAAGTAGATTTGGATCCCATGACAGCTTCCAAAACTTTAAGCTGATTTTCCAAGAATTCAAGTAATTTGTTAAAGGTTGGAATGTCATTAGTTGATTCTCGTTGATGATCCGCCTCAAACTTGCTCCTCAAATCCATAGGAAGCTTACGTAAAATTATGTGCAATAATATAAAACTCCAAGAGTTTGTTTCAAAACCTAATGCATTTAAAGCTTGAATATTTTCCTTAAGTGCATTAACAAGTTTCCGTAAGTTGCTGTTAAGTTGATTTGTATTTATGTTTATGTTTAAAATAGCTTCTAAGTGTTTATCTGCAATTTATCTTTTATTTTGATATCTATCTTTTAATAAATTGTATGCAATATAGTAATTGCCTTCTGAAAGTTCTAAGTGTTTGATAAGATTCAAAGGTTCCCTATCCAGCACTGACAGTAAATAGTGCATCTTTTGTACACTAGGTAGCTCAACATTATCGTGCACTAAACTATCAAACATTGCTATGAAGTTAGGCCATTCAGTATAAACACCAGAAAATCTAGGTAATGTTATTTTGGGTAAAGAAAAATGTGTTGACTTATGTACCGTATTTGTTTGTAATTCATTTGACGTTTGAGGTTCGTTTCGTGGAACTAAATCACTTAATATCTGCACTGAATAATATTTATCATAAAAAATACCAAACTGCTTTTCCAACAGCTTTAAAACTTTCATCTGTTGACATTGCGAATAAAAAGTCGTGAGCGTCCTGGAAATTGTTACGATATACTTCAACGTCACGCAAACGAACCTTAAACGATGCTAATAGTCCAGGGTCTCGTTGAGATTGTGAACTAAGTTGATTTGCTAAGTTATATAAAGAATCCATTAACTTCATGTTTGCATTCAATTTCATAGTAGTAATTGCGCATCTTGATGCATCATCCGACACTAAAAGTTTGGATTTTCCTTTCTTAACCGATGCCATTATGTAAATAAATCGATGTTCAATAGAATTTAACTATATTAATTTAAAAATTCAAAGGTTGTTTTGAAATATTTTCAACAGTGACAATGACAACGAAAAAAAAAGTTTAAAAAAGTAATTTATAGCAATGGATTCAAACTGATTTGCTAGTATCGGTTGGATATTGAGATAGTGATGTGACTAAATGAATCAATATTGACATTCAGTCAAAGAGTAAGGCTGAATGATACAAGTAATCACAGATTGTAAAGATAAAATAAAAATATTATGACTTTGATAATTTTCTACCCACAAAACAAAAATTATTTGAGAATTTGGAAAAATGTTTACCCACGAATTATGATGATTGACAAAAATGATAACGCAACTTTTGGAAAGAAAATAGATGATTACTAGGATGATTTACGGTAGGATTTATCGGGGAGAAGGACCAAAAAGGATTATGTGCGGGACAGAAAGTGATTTGGACTTACGATTTTATATTTTTTCTCCGATAGCCTCTAGAGCAGCGCTGGTCTGCCTGTATTTTCGTAAGTTTCCGGATGTTGTAGGAATGTTATCTTGAGCTAGTCCTAACTGTCCTTCACGTAATCTTGGTGATTTGATGATGTTCCTTTGTGCTCGTTGAACAACCGACGCGCTGACTATATGTAATTTGGATCGAGGCTTTTCATAAGTCGTCCGATCGCTGTGGCGTCGTAGTAGTAACAGGCAGCTGACAGATACTACCTGTCTACCCTCGTATTACAATAAAAAATCGTCCAAGGGATAGGAAAAGGTGGGTAAGCGGATGTAATGTTACGTTATCATATCTAACGCATTCAATATAATTTGAAACCGAACAGTATTCTATCCGTTACCCTAGAGTCCCATAACACAAACCTTACAGTGCTTACTTTGGGGCTAGGCTAAAAGTCCAGTCACTTTAGGGTTTCACCTACGACTTGAGATAATAAGCTGGAAACTCGTGTACAGCTTCATTTTGACGTTCTAAAAGTTGTCTCAAAAGTCTCATATTATCTCGTGTCTGCGTCGTAAGTTATTCGGGGTCAAAGTTCATGAAAATCGTTTTTTTTGCTATTATCTCTCTTTCTATAGTTCCAATCACTTCAACACCTATTATGAAAATTAAAGATAAAAAAAACGCCACAACTTTTGTCTCAACTTTTTTTCTATTACAACTTTTAGAACGCCAAAATGAAGCTGTATACGAGTTTCCAGCTTATTATCTCAAAATCCGAGATTGACCACTTTTTCCCCTAAAGTGACTTGTGAGTGTGAGAAAATATTATATTTATTATTAATCTGTCTTATAGTCGCGAGCCGAAACAGAAAGGTCGTCGCAAGCGCGAACCCGGCGAAGGGCGTAAAGGAAGATCTAAGAAACGCAGAGAGCCCAGGGGAAGCGGCAGTGACAGTGATCCACCACGCAAGCGGGGCAGAAAGAAGGTTACTGAATTTTATCATAAAACCCATGAATTAAAAATAATATGTAATAAGAACTGGAGCTCTATTTTAAAATCACTCGCCTTGCGTCGAACGCTCGATTTCTACTAATTTTGATTAATTTCGATTTCTAATAATAATCTCAATCTTTTTATAATACAGATAAGGTGACGATTTTTTTAAGCGACATTTGATCTTTATCTTACAAAAATGGCAAAAGATTAAATAACCAGTTATTGAAAATTATATGTTTACTTTTCACCGCGGTAATGACGGCTTTTTATCTTTTTTCGTGAATTAATAAAAAATAAATATTTTGTATCAAACTGGTAACACTGTAGATAAACGCAAAAAAAATAGTACAAAGACATCTGCCTACTTGTTTACATGAGTTGTAAACAAGTAGGCAGATGTCTTTGTACTTTCACATTTACGCTGCACTGCATAAGGTTCATATTCGAATGAACTGCACCACTCGGCCTTGGGTAAATCTGTTTCCAGTATGTTCGTGGTCTTGCATCCAGAGCGTTTGTGACAATATTTTATTTGTAACAGGGCGAAAAGGGCATAGGCCGTCGGGAGAAAGCTAAAACGGCAGAAGATAAACTCGGCACCAAGCAAAGATTGAAGATAGTATCCAAAGAGACGATATCTACCTCCGAATCTGACTCGGATGGGGGCGGCAAACGCAAGTCACGTAGCCGTAGCCGCAGCCGCAGCCGTAGCGGCAGTCGTAGCGGTAGCGGCAGCCGTAGCCCGCCGGCTAATAAAGGGAGGAAGAGGATTATGTCAGCTTCCGATAGTGATAGGTAAGGAAATTTTTGAAGTTGAAGTAATCTCCATTTTACAGAAGATCAGAAGATCATAGTAAAATAACTATACCTTTTGGTGGTGTGTTTCTGTCGCTGAGTAAGGATCCAGGGCTCCGCGAAGTAGGGGATTGGGTCAGGGTAGGCGAATGATATTTTTGATGTAGTAAACGTCGATCGGCTTTGGTGGCCGCTTACCTTCAGCCGATCAATAGATTGTTTGCCACCCTTTTTAAATAAAAAAAAACTAATTCTCAATATGAATTCGATACATATGTAAATATTGAATGAAAATATACAAAACGTCAACATCATATGTAAATATTGAATGAAAATATGCAGAACGTCAGACCAACGGCTAAACGTGCCTTCCGAAGCACGGAGGACCTCGCGATAGAAAATTTTGGTCACCCATCCTATGACCGACCACTGCGAAAGTTCATCATCAGCCTATTATTGTCCTCTTTGCTGGGGCACAGGCCTTCCCTATGGAGGGAATAGAGAGTTTGGGCCATTACCCACCATGCAGGCCCTGTGCGAATTGGTGGGTGCTAACGACTGCAGACGCAGTCAGGACCAACAGCTTAACCTGCCCTCCAAAGCACAGAGGGCATCGAGATAGTACATTTTTGGTCACCCATCCTATGACCGACCACTGCGAAAGTTGTTTAACTTCAACGTTCGCAGCCGAACGCGCTAATCACTCGCGCCTCGAGCTCCTCAAAACGTACTTATTATATATTATTGAATGATCCTATTTTATTTTTGCAGGTCTCGTTCGCGCTCCAGAAGTAAGTCAAAGTCCAAATCGCGCAGTCGTTCCAGATCTAAAAGCGGATCGCGATCTAAAAGCCGGTCAAGGTCGAGAAGTCGATCGAAGTCGAAGAGCCGATCGCGGTCAAAGAGCCGGTCGCGGTCAAAGAGCCGATCGAGGTCGAAAAGTCGATCGAGGTCCAAAAGTGGTTCCAGGTCTAAGAGTCGGTCTAGATCGAAGAGCCGATCTAGGTCGAAGAGTGGTTCGAGGTCAAAAAGTCCATCGAGGTCGAGGTCTAGGTAAATATTTTTTATTAATTATTGACAAAAGAGAGGAATTCGATGTTTCTAGAAGCAATTTTATTTATAAATTACACCAAGTGAAATAAGTAAGTCCAAAATTGGACATCTACCTAACTAATTTTATTGCAATTCTGACTTCAATCATGAATTCAAACTTTATGTAATGACTTTTAAAAGAAACGGCTTTTTAAAAATTTGATAAACAGTCAGCTGACTTTTAAAATTTTGATTAGATATTTTCACTTTCTCTGCTATAACAAGACATCACTTCACCTTTTTAAGCATCATATTCGATTGAGGTCTCTTGAGTAGATATCTTTTATATTTTTCTACAAACTCTTCATTTTTTTCACAACTTTTCCATTCATCGAACAGTAATTTTACTCATTACAATTTATCGTGCAGGTCGAAAAGCAAGTCACGATCGCGGTCGCGGTCAAAGAGCGGGTCGCGGTCACGGTCACGATCCAAGAGCGGCTCCAGGTCGCGCTCCGGGTCACGATCCAGGTCAGGGTCGAGGTAATGTATCTCTATATAAAAAAACTTGCGAGCCTTACAGTAGTCGCGTATGATGTGTAACATTTGAAACCTCACCTTATATTAGTAAAATAAGAAATAAAACCTACTACAAAAGGAATAAGCCATTTGAACATTATGTTCTAAAATCAAATCAAATAGCGCCGCGGTTTCGCGACTTCCTGTTCACACACTTCCGTCCCATTTCACGAAATCACTCCCACAAATTGCAGGAAAGCGAGAGGAAAGATATTACACATCAATAATAATAATAATAAACTATTTATTTGTTTCAATATACAATTGGTACAATACACAAATAGAATGAAAGTAAATTTTAATTGAAACAAAAAGGTATGTGACTCAGCATGTGGCAGTCAAGTTCTGACTTGTCGCTGGTATTTCGCCACCACCTCACAATTATTATATTCTTAAAAACACATTAATTAGGTCAACATCAGCAAGTCGAGACAATATTATTTATAATATAATATAAGAAGTTCTTAAACTTATATAGGCTTGTCGCTGGGTGCGAAGTTCCAAGTGCGAAAATTCCATTTTGAAATTGCCGCGAAAACTTTTTTCTGGGCATTATGGCGTCTCACTAGTATGTGACGTATGTAAAATCACTTTGACCAAAAAATCACATCTGTTTAATGATTTTTTTAGAATCTCTGTATAGTTGTTTGTTTTCTCGGAATAGTAGTCTCTGCTGATATTCATATTAAATACAGACACCATCAAGTGGTACTTTATTTTTAAATCTATTAAACATCCTATTACTAAGATCAAGTATTTCAGCCCGTTCTTTTCTGATCTATTCATTCTTTTTGTGGTCACGCAGAGATATTCCTTCTCTCGTAACAGTTTTAGTGAGACTGGAGATGATTCTGGTAAGATTCTTTGGAGAATTGAACCTAAACTTAAATTTTGACAACAAAGTAGCCTTGAAATTCTCTATTCAGAATGAAAAGGACAAAACGATTTTAGTTTTAAGTTTAGATTATCATGTCAGAATCGACGACGAATACGTGACTTAATAAAGCATTAAATTAATTAGCGTTTTTGAGTTCGTATTAATTGAAAACCTCCGTGGCTGAGTGGTTGGTACGCCGGGTTTTATGTTGTCGCCCACTCGAAAGGTCCCGGGTTCGAATCCCGGTGGGGGCACATGTTTGTGTGATGAATACGAGCATTTGTACTCCAGTCATGTGTCATAGATACCCTAGTATCCTCTAACACAAGCCTTACAGTGCTTACTTTGGGGCTAGGGCAATTGGTATGAGTTTTGGAAATATATGTTTATTTTAGTGTTTGTAATTTACAAATTGTCATATATGTTCATTTAACTAAAGAACAAATAGTAAGATATATGTAACTAAAAACCTTAAAAATAAAATATAAAAACCTAAAATACATTATTAAAAGGAGTACCTTTAGGCAAGGTTCCTAAGATACTGGTAACTTTTACCCTTTGAATAGCTAGACTTATTCTTTGTCCGAGGTAGCTGCCAGCTCTTCGGTCTCCTGTGATGTCGACTAACCTTCTATTATTTTTCATTTATTTATCATAATGTGTATTTTAAACAGCTTTTCGGTTGTTTAAATAGGTCAAGATCGGGATCGCGTCACTCCCGGCCGGCCACACCCGAATCCAGGAAGTCAGTCTCCGCTAGCGAAGATGAAGCTTAAGCTCTACTGTAAATACGTTAAGGTCTGCTTTCGTCTGGAAAGTGTACTTTTCGATCATCCTAGACATATTCCACGTTTGCCTAGGAACAATAAAACTATTATTTTTAATGGGACGTCTTGTTTCATGCCGCTAACATGAATTCATACTTTGCATGAACAAATGCAAAGCGTTGTTGTTAATACATATTGTCATTTTGTAAAAGACTTATTTCACACAAATACAACTTTAAGAAATTCAATTAAATCCTATTTGAAATGTCTTTTTCTTCTTCTTAATATTAAGATCCTTTCCAACTATACTACAGTAGCGTTTGATGTGTTAATTTTCTAAAAAATATTTTTTCTTTCTATTTGTTCCTAGTGTTGCCAATTTAAAATATTGACTAAAGAAAATTTGTTTGTGAAATGAATTAACAATAATATAAGGCCTCAACCCCACAGGTAAGTTTTTTCTGTCGATAATATCAAAGCCGTTATTGCGATAATGCGCTCTAATTCTATTGTGTCGATTTTATCGCAGCAGTGTACATAATGAATTAAAAACAGATATCGCAATAAAGCATTCGTTATTATCGACCGATAATGCGGGGAAGACTTAAAAACGTCTAAATTAGTAATTTATAATATTATTGCGGTAAGTTGGTAGAGTAGACGTATGTAAGCCTAAGACGAAGTGGAGAGTTTACCATAGTCTCTGATTTATAAGAACGAATTCCGCACAAATGTCATCCAACGTTTTTCAACCAACGATATTAATTACCCTAGATACACAACGAGCGCTCAAAATGTGTCCCAATCAAGAAGTGCTTGAACTCCACTCAAGCACTTCTTGGTTCACAGTCATGCGCGGACCGTTACAAACACAAGATGCCACAGAGCTCCTCGAAAAAATGCGAAAATAATACTAAGAGTACGAAAAGTGTTGTTTTCGACAGGTATCTAGTCAATGTTTGTTAATATAAACTGATTTAATATAAAATATTTGTGATATTCAAATGCATGGTCGGTTATACGTCGCCATATAGCCGTCTCTTTTCCTCGCGGTCCGTGCCATGCTATATTGCTAACAGCGCGTTCAGAATTGCTCGTAGAGTCAAAGAACTAAGGGCTAAATTCTTCCGCATATAGCAATAAGTCGTAAAATTTTACGAGCTTGCATTTCGAACTGACAGAAGTCCTTGACGCATGCATTTTATTTAAGACCTTATAAAGTATGTATTAAAGGTTACTTTCAATATTTAAATGCCTTATATTGATTTTGACTACGCGATCATCTTACGGAGCTCCGTGGATCGTTCAATGTACCTTTAGGACAGGTTTCGGGCACGATTTTGTTCGTGTTGGTGTATCTAGGGTATTTAAAGTCGTTGTTTTCAACACATTTGCGAGAAACCTTACGTTTAAGTAATGAAGGAAAGTTTTTCTAATAAGAAAATGGCGCTCATTTCCGATTGGCGCCACAGTACTAAAGTGAGACAAAGGTATAGATGAAAAGCGCTTCCAATGAGGTTCGTCCAAAATTAAAAAAAAAAACGTAAAAAATACGCACGGCGCCATGTATGGGAGCGAACGGTTAAATGTTTTACCACACGCTCAGTTGTATGGCTCGTAATTTTGAACTTTCGAACAAAGTATACAACCTTCGTAAATTCATTTTTTGAGCAAATGTGTTGAAAAAGAACTTTTATTAATTAAAATTAAAATACCCTTATTTACTGTTCAATACAAAACCGTCTTGTTATTTTAATTTCTTTTCCTTTGAATATTTACTCTCTAGATAGAGCGTCTCCTTGTAAACACTGCGATAAAAACAGACCAGGAGGCCTACTCTATATCAACGAAAAACGAAATTTCGATCGAAATTTCGCACGTTCCCTACTCTGTTTCCTTTTCATTTCGAAAATTCGTTCGTCCGAAATATTTTGACAATTAAATTCTCCAAGCCTACTCTAATTCACAAAACTTTCGAAGGAAAAGTTGAATTTGACAGATAATTGTTCGAAATTTTAACCTCAAATCGACGAAATGAAAAGTGTTACCTTTTCATTTTTGTTTTAATTAAGCCTAAAATACAGTATGGGTACGAGACTTTGACGCTCTTTTTTTAAGTTTTCAAAAAATGTTTTTTTTCTGATATTTCTTCCAGATTTCGAGACTATTAAATTTCTATCTTTAAAAAAAAACTTTTTCCATCGCACTGCTGCAATTAGTAAATATTTTGATTACGCCATACTTTTTTGGGGTATTTTGTAATGAGACACAGACATCATTTTGCATTTTCCTTAAAAAAATAAAACTATCATCATATTAGTTAAAAAACTTACGACTTCATCTTGACATGGACTCGCGAGTTTTTTAACTAATATGATGCTTGTTTTATTTTTTAAAGTTAATAATAATTTAACAATAATAATTAAATAATCTTTTTAATTTAATAATAATATAATCTAATTTAATTCTCTTAATAATAAATTAATCACGTCACGTCGGTGTCGTTTCACTTTGCGCGCTTTCTAGGCAGTACTGAAAACCAGTGCTTTGCTCTTAGAGCAAAGGTATCGCTGAGTTTTTGCCTTTTTCTGTCGTTGCGGCACACAGTTACATACCTAGTAATTAATTGTTCTATTTGTTTACTTGAATTTGTGTGCTGTACTGATGGGAATAATTGATTTATCTATCTATCTAATTAGTTACTTACCGATGTGAAGTGACTTTTTGGTTGTTTTTATGCGTCCTTTATAATTTCAGCAAACTTTTATCGCGCATCTCAGCATTTCAAAGCAATAATTACGACACGAAGCTCTGTAATTGACGTGCGTATCGCTCAGCGTTACATTGAACACTAAGTGACGGGAAACGACTTATAGATAAGCAGTTGGTTGATATTTTTTTCATCGTCATATGCGCTGCCAGCTGCCACGTTCTATCTAGGAGTAAATAATCAGAATTCTTTTCCTTCCTCTTTCTTTTATGTCACGCGGGGACGAAGCAAAATGAATCGTCTCGCGGGCCTTATGCCATTATAAAATATTTTTCACTGAGAGCATGACAATGTATGTTATTTTCATTATGTAAATTTTGATCATCTGAAAGTTATGTAAATTTTGATGTAATGAAGTAATGACTGAATGAATAAAGAAACCCATGTTTTAATAATATTTTATTTTTAATCTACAAGTTGGCCTTAAAAACGTCTTCTGGTGTACGATAACAGGCTATTTGACAGTATGAACTATGATGTACCAATTGTTAGCATCTGTATTAAATATGGCTATAAGCTGCGATTTTACTATTCTGAAAGAACACATAATAACTTCATTAAATAGATTTTTTTGCTCCATGATCACGTGACCAAAAACGCCTGGGATTGGCCAAGACTAAAATGACTTCACATGCTATGTATACTTCTGGCCAGTGACATTACATTGTATCGTTTTACGTCAGACATTTTGAGACGCCAGAGAAAACTTTTCGCGGCAACTTTCTTTCGCTTTTAATTTAGTTTTGTTTTTCTTTTTTTCCTAACTCCTGTAAAATTTCTTCGCACAGTTCACAAACTGATCGTTATTTTATCGCCATGTCTTGTATAGGGACGAAATATTATCAGCAAAAAAAAGAGTGAGCCTCATGAAAAATTTTATATTTCTCAAATTAAAAATATACAATAGATTACTTCCAAAGACACTCGTATGAATTTATTCCAAACACAAAAACGCCTAAAATTCTAAATATTTGTTTACATATAAATAATAATGTGGAACATTAAATTTCATAATGGGGTTAAGTTACATTGAGTATTTTCTGTGGAAATCCACTTTAAAACTGTATTTTTTATAAAAAAAAAACAGTAATATTTTATCTATTCCATTAAACTTACTTTATATTATAATCTTTATTAAGAAGAATTAAAACACAATCATTCTTGAAGAAATTAATATTTTTGAGAAAATTAAATTGGATAATAACACAAATAATAATAACAATATCTTAGAATTATCTAGTGGACTATTCGAATTAATGTATGCGTTATTATTTTATATATCTGCATTATTCATATATCTTATAATTAATAATTGAGCCATTTAAAGTAACTAACGATTTTCTAACATAATAACATAATTATAATTTTCTAACAGTTTGACAAATACACAAAGCTTGAAGGCCATTAATAAATCAATATACACCCCGGTAAACTTTTTGAGCAACGAACATAGACAAGGAAGCCTACGCATTAGCAATTTCACATACAAAAACGTCTAATGCGCAATTATTTGTATGTGTTTTTTTGTTCAAGAAGATAGTTAAGTTACAGGTTTTAACCATATATGCAATGCATTCTATTATAAGTATTTGTGTACATAATGTTTCATTGAAAAGTAGACTAATCATATTCGTAAACAAAAGTTAAATATTATACTTTGCTAGAGACAGAAATTAATAGATCTTTATTAATTAACCACTTAGTTTAAATAGCCAGTGACCGAGCACAGTAAATTTGTATTGACAATTAGTTGCATTGATTATGTAATTAACGTGAGATTTTTTATTTGGCTTTTAAAAAAAGAAATACGTAGTCGTTATTTTCAAGAAGCCATTACGAAAATCGTAAAAAGTTGCATTATGACGCGTTGAATAAAGAAGAAACTAATGCAATTTGTAAATATGTATAATTTTTTTCAATTTTGATTTTTTAATAACGAAACATTTAGGCATTAGACTGAACAGAAAATTATCAATATAATAATCTTCGTTAAGCATACTCAATAAGTTTTATTAAGGAACACAGAAAAGAAGAAATTTATAAAGTGATAAATAACAAATAGTACGCATATGTACATTCCTTTTAGGACACTATTATATACTTATTCTATACCTTAAAATGATTTTAGATATTTCAGCATAATTAAAATTTTAACATTAATAATAATTTATTAAAAATTCACTATATTCGCATAAAAGTAATCAACAATAGTAAAAAGTACTTCTTCAACATAATTACAACAAATTCACTTTATAATACTTTTATAATAATTTACAATAATAAAATATTCTGAGATCTATTGGAGTTTAAGATTTCATTGGAGTATTATTTGTTACATTGTGGAGACATCTTAATTTTACATCTGAATCTATTACGCTATATGCATTAAGAAATTGGTCAGCGATTTATTTCTTTAAAAAACATCTTATTTTTGCTGAGACGTCAAATAATAGATAATAATTATGTGCTAATAAATATATTTCTAATTACAAATTCAATATTCTTAGACAATTCCAATACATATTCTCTAACTATGTTAAAATTCCGTACAAACATCTCTAAATCTCAATTAAAAAATGTAGTAAAAATTCGAGTATGTGGCAGTATTCAGTTTTAAAATTTTCAAGACTAGTGGTCGATTATTGCTACAGACGACTTAAATTGTAAATCTTAAACGCGACAGAATCATAGTTTTCCTATATTGTACGGTAATATGCCATTTAATATACTAGCACTAAAGATAAGGGTACTAAAATTAGTGGTATTAAACTACAAATAACAAAATTAAATACTCTTTTAGCTGTAAGTAGGATTAACATTCAATAAGTTCTTTTTTTCTATTGATGTTTTTAATATTTGTTTCTTAGGTTTTCACGCACATCACCCATTAATAAAACTATTTTTTTACGGGTTAATGAACGATTTTTTTTTATTTATTGACGTTTCGCAGCCTTTATAGGCTGCGTCGTCGGAATATTTTTTTTATTTAATTTTGTCGAGGTACCTTCCGACGACGTCAAAGACATAAGACTTATAATTCTAGACGTCGTCTAGACGTCAATAAATAAATAAAGTTTCGTGCATTATCCCGTAAAAACTAGTTTTATTTGATATTCTTAATATCAAAGCAACAAAAAATCTGGTTTATTGTAAGTAAAATTTTCATCATTAATTACGTAAATATTTGTATATCAATGCCACCTATCGCCTTTCTATGGACAGAATCATGTAGAGAGAATATTATCAAGACAGGCTTTCCCTTTGCAAAAAGTCAACAAAAATACCAGGCAAATAATGAAAGCCACGTCCAGACAATTACCGAAAAATGGTAACCATATTCTGGGATCTATCTATATAATAGAGCATACTGTCAATGTAATATAATAGCTTATACTGTCTTGTGACTAGAGATCAATAGAGTAGTCTTTATTTAAAGTGAGTTTATTTTCCCAAAATGTCTTTAACGGCATGGTATCCAAAAGAATAAAATAAAAAAATAAATAAAATAAAAATGCACACTTTAATCGAGTGGATCATTTGGTAAGAACATTGGCGTGTAAAACAAGTAGAATGACAATCGCGCTCAAACTGTCGGAGGGAAAATTATGCACAAGCGTCTATTGTGCGTAAATTTTCAAACAGTCTTATTTCGACCACGCTCTGATTTCAAGTGAAGTGTTCGGTTAAAAATACCATCAGATCGACACTATAAGTTTTTCTGTAATCTGTTTATTTGTTAGGCGATTGGGAGTCTACTTGTTTTTATACGTCAATGGATAAGAAGAGAAATTTATTGTAACCGTGTACTTTGACCACTAATTTTCAAAAATGAGATTGAGGACACAATAATTCCTTTTGACAATATTATATAAATTTATTGTACGTATATACAACAGTATTCTTAAATAAAAACGAAAAATAAACAGTATTTTTTTATCTTATTTATAAAACAGAAATTTGGCATAAATAATAATCGTTCAGAGATCATAGATATGTGCCGGATTAGCTAGTGCTTAACAATTATAAGTCTTATATCTTACACAAGTCTATGTAAAAATCTCATTAACTTACTTTGAGGTGTCGTAAGTAGTCTTTAACAGGGATCTTTGTTGTGTGTTCCATTCGAAGGGTTAAAAGTTACCGTACCATTGGCCATAGTAGTTTGTGGGCCTCCGAGGAATGATGTGAATGTGGTGTCTCGACTTATGGGAGGCTCCAAGCCTTCTATGGGAATGCAGTCTAATGTAGGCACAGTATATTCCCTGTAAAAAACAATAAAATAGTAATAGACCTTCTTGTATGGAACTGCGGTAGAGTGGGAATCGATCGCTGAACAAGAATAGGCTCACCATAGCCAGGACATTATGACAAAAAGTAAAGAGCGTACAGGAAGAAACGATGTGATCCGCAGGAGAATTAAAGTCGCCGACATATCCCAAAGAATTCTAAGCCTTAAGTGGCAGTAGGCTGAGCACATGGCAAGAACCGACAGCCGTTGGGGAAGAATGGTTGGTTGGTTCGGTAAGCCGCTGGGCTGATCGATCAAGAATTCCTTAGTGAGACCTATGCTCAGCAGTGGACTTCGCTCGGATGATATGATGATGATGATAATGAAAGCGCGTGGAACTGGTCGCGAGGACATTACAATATTACTTATAATCACATGGAGATGCTGTCCTGGTCAGAACCGCTGAACAAGAAAAGGCTCACCATAGCCAGTAGATATGACAGTAATCGGTGTCTCTCTGCGCGATCGAATCGGAAACAATAAGACCCGCAGGAGAACTAAGATCGCTGACGTAGCTTTAAGAATTGCGATCTTTAAGTGGCAATGGGCTGGGCATATTGCAAGGAGGTTTAGCGGCCGTTGGGGCGCAGCGTTGGTTGTTTTTTTTTCTTTTTATTCTAGCACACTACAGTCATTACATAAATTTACTTAATTCTATTATAGAAATTTCGATAAATTTAAGATAAAAATAACAATACTATATTATCAATATAAATATGTATGTAATTGCTTACAATACAAGTTTATCAAATATTCTAGATTTAAATTGCTAAGAGTACAGTTAAATTATGTCAACTTTATAAAGAAACAGTAGATCAAGTTGCCTTCATCGATTTTGTAATTTTCGTACGAAACTAAAACAAAGAATTTTAAAAGTTACAATATTGCTAAAAGGTTTACTTACTCTGCTAATAAAACCTACCTTCCTCAGTGACTTTTGAACGATTTTCTCATAATGTTATTTAAAAGTCACTTCACTGTCCATACCTAATAATACATAAATCACGGATGTTGTTGATGATTTTTAAAGTCATATTGTTGATCGAATATTGGAACGATATTGACGCTTTTTTCTTGTGTAGGATATAATTACATAAATATTAACCAAGAACACACTAATCATAATAAAAAAATTACATATTATAATATTACATTTATCTACGTTAAGAAATAATTGATTTTAGTTGCAATCTTTGTCAAATGAGTCTAAATTGTTTTACATTTTACAGCAATCATCCATATTACTGCTGACCCTAAATATCTTTTTGTCATCTGCATATTGAAGATGAGAGCTAATAAGTAAAGAATCACCAATATTTTTCACATAAATTAAGAATAGAACCGAAAGGAAAAGTGGCAAAAAACTCGGACAATAACCTTTCACACAAACAGCCTGACTGCGATTAGGAATGTTGGATTTAAACCATCGGCATCGTAACAAATTGCCATGAACGCCGCCCTGCGCAAACTTTGTTATAAGTAAACGGTGATTAATTTTATCAAATGCTTTAGAGAAATCGGTGTAAACGACCTCAACTTGTTTCTTTCATCGATAGCTTTAAGAATGAAATCAGGAAACGTAACCATATTTGTTTCAACACTACGTTTTTCATAAAACTATATTGCGTGTAAGACATATGAGGCTTCAGAACGAAATACAGTTGTGCTGTTACTATTTTCTCTAGTAATTTGCCAAATATGCATAATTTTGAGATCGGTTTTTATTGTGTTATTTGTTGTGTTACTCATTTTTTGGAATAGGCGTGATAAGAGTTTACTTCCAAAAATTTGGGAAAACACCAGAGTTTAAATATCCTTAAAAAAATATAGATTGGTTTTAACAAATGGTTTGCACATTGTGATATCAATATTGGATGTATCCCATCAGATCCTGGACCCTTATGAATATTTACTTTGCCTTTTAAATGTTTAAGTATAACTTATTCTTCCAAAAATTTATTTTTCCAAAATCTACTGCCGATAATTTATTTTTATCAAACTTAAGAGATTAAAAAATTATATTCTGTCAACTTTCGTTTCTACAAAGACTGATTGGAAGAATGTATTGAAAGCGGAACAAATCTCTTACACATTGTCAAGTTCTTTCCATTAAAGGTCATGTTATGCGGGATATCATCAGTGTTGTTTTTAGATTTCACAAATGACCAGAAGAAATTAGGATTTTTCCTAATATTTTCCCTCGAAAAAGCTATATATTGGTTAGTTCAATCAATCTAGTGAAGGTCGATGGAAGCCGCTGGATGCGGGTGGCGCAGGGAGTTCACTCGGCTGATATGATGATGATGATAATGAAAGCGCATAGAATTGGTCATAAGGACATTACTTATTTATTAATTTACTAATTTAGTACACACACAATAAAACAGATAAGTAGAACAGGAACAAGAAATTTGTAGAAGGGCACTGCTTATTTCATATTGAAATTTCTTCCAGCAGGCCCGCGAAAGGAAGGAAAGGAAAAAAGAAATAAAACCTACTCGACTTCCTGTTACACAATTCCGTCCCATTTCACGAAATCAGCGAGAGGTAAGATGTTACAGATCAAAAAGCCGTCAGTGTGTGCCTCCTGAATATAAATAACAAAATACAATACTAAGGTACATAAACATAATCTACACAGGTATATATCTACATAGATATACACATAAACATATATACTTAAATAAAATATATAAGTGTTAAAAAGGAGAAACAATACAGTTGAGAAACAGTAATTCAAGAGGATAGAGTGTTCCTTCAATCGTTTTTTGTTTTGTATTACATTATTTATACTCACATGGACACGTTGTCCTGGTCGTGCAACGAGTCGTGCAGCAACTGTGGCAGGGAGGGAGGCGGCGGTGGTGGCGCGGTTGTGGGCCGAGCGCTGAACAGGAACACTCCCACCATCGCCAGCAAGTATGACAGGAAGTACAGCGCATGGAACTGGTCACGCGAACATTTCATTGTCACAGGGGTCGTAACACAGGTTTTGTAACCTAGTACAATCTACAGCTCTCTCAAAGAACTGCATTGTTTTTACTGTTATTGTAATTCAATACCCTTTTCTTAATTATTATGTTACTTTGTGAGAGACATAAATAAATAATTCATTCATTGTCATTTACTACCTAATGCTAACCCCACAGCTGCGTGATGAAGCTTCGGGTGGCTTTAATAAATTTAAGACTACTGAAAATGCGCTTAAATTTGCGGTCGAACTCTTTTTTTTTAATATTCCTAACACTCATACCAATTAGTCTAGTCTAGCCCCAAAGTAAGGTTTGTGTTATGAGATGCTAGGGTAACGGATAGAATACATATACCGTACAAATATAAGTATATTTTTATAGAAATACATATTAAACATCCATGACTGTAGTACAAATGCTCGTATTTATCACACAAACATCTGCCCCCACCGGGATTCGAACCCGGGACCTCTCGAGTCGGCGACACCATGAAACCCGGCGTTCAAACCACTCGGCCACGGAGGTCGTTAAATTTTAAATTAAGTACCTACGCTCTTTCAGCTGCACATACATATTTGTCGTTTTCCACAACCACTTTTAGCGTGACAAATTATCGCCAGTCGAGCTATTGTATAACTTCACAGACACGCAGCCCGCTAATTCATTACGACAGAACTCATTAAAATTTCGAACGCTAATTTTAGCGCATTTAGAACCAAAGTCACTCGAAGCTTCGTCGTGCAGGTGCGGAAGAAACATAACAACGAGAAGCATATAAATATAATCATCTTCTATATATAAATATATAAAAAATAACCCTTACTTATTTCCATTGGACCACTTACAACTGTACCTGATAGGTGGCGGTGCAGTGAGTTTTAGAATATCCATACTTATACAATTAAAATTGCCAGTGTGTCTGTTTACTTCTTCAAGCACAAACCGCTGAACCGATTTAGATGGAATTTGGTATTGAGATAGTTTGGAGTCCCAGGCAAGGACATAGGATAGTATAGTTTCTATTCCAAAAAGGTGGATGTTTGAAAGAAAACAATTAAACCACGTAGAGGAAGTCGCAGCTATTGGTGTTATTTAATCTGATAATGAGCTAACGACCGATGTCAATGAAGGTCTATTTCAACGAAAAACAAAATTTCGATCGAAATTTCGCACGTTCCTTACTCTGTTTCTATTTCATTTCGAAAATTCGTTCGTCCTCGAGCTCCTGTGCGTAAAGGGTTCCTGTCTCATCGTCATACAACCTCGATGGATACACATAAGCCCTCTGCAGAATACAGGACTACACAAGCCCAAGCACGAATTTTCGACAGCTCCATAATGTATCATCATCATCAAAATTTGTAGGGAAAAAGCTAGTTTGTTCTTGCGTCTGATAGATGCTTAGGTTCTGCTTAGTTTTCATAGAAAGTTTGGCGATGTGATATATCATCTGCTGCTGTCAATTTTTTTAATTATTTCATTTGTTTTCGCTGAATTTACTAGCTGTTACGATAAGTGCATGAAAGCGATCCTGGTGGTCAACAGAGTTCCATACTACAAATTGCAGTTGTGTTGAACGCATTTCTCACCCTAAAGAGGTTACCGCCATAGATTTGTTACCCAAAAATAATACATTGATTGAATAAACAATTGACTAGAATGACTTACTATGAAGGATTGTTCCTGCTTACCTTGAACTGAAAGATGTACATCCCGGCAATGAGTGTATAATAATCAGCAGACAGAAAGGACAAATGGAGTATTATTGACCCGGCATCTCTCAACATGAAGCATTGCAGAATTTGGAATACAGTCTGCACTGAGCAGTAGCTTCCCAGCTGTGCTATTGTGTCCAGCTCATACCAGTTAAACGTCATGAGTTCACTAAACTCTAAGAAGAATGTTTGAGTGCAGGACACAACACTCCCGATAAGACCCAGAAGTGCCAAGTAATCTGAGCAAGATTGCGTTTTGAGCGTCATTTCTTGGAGCACTGTAACTGAGGCATATAGTAGGGAGCCTCCAAGACATAGCATGTCACCTACAAGCTGATTTTTGCCTGTAATAAAAATATACACATTATAAATAATTTAGCAGTCAATTTTGAAGTAATAATTTATAGGATTGATGTCTACATGTACTAAGAAAAACATAATGATTTTGTGTACCACCTATGTGGCAGACAAGTTTCTTTTATTTGTTTATCTTTCTACCTTTTTAAGTTAAATTAACACATTAAACTTGTAAAATATTATTGGTCTTTTATAAGCAAAAGGTGCAGGTTCGAATTCTGTCTGATGCCTGGACTGAGTGAAATATTTCTTATACATTTTTTTTAAATATAGTAATTAACTGCTCTAATTTACAAGTCTACCAGTTAAATGCTTAAATTATAAAAATAAAGTTTTAAGCAATGCAATAAACAAAATATGTGTATCGGCGATTATAAACATTGTCTTCATGCCTACCATCGGTGGGAGCCCCTTCAACATCAGCCCACACAACACAAACAACAGCCATTAGGCCGAGTGTAGCCCCAGCGACATGTGCCACCCCCAGCCTTTGACCACGCCATGCTCCACCCACCAATGCTGCTCCAACTCCACTGCATGCTAGAAGCTGTCAGCTCAAAACTGATGTGAATCGTTGCGACATAACAAGCAGCCAGCTTGCTTCCACATCCAATGTACAAGCTATCATGATTATCCACCAGCTTCTAAAAATAACAAAACATATTATATAAAAAAAATCACTAGATTTTTCTTTGAAAGCCTTTTGTAACTTAACTAAAATTATCAACAAGCATACAGATGAAACACTTGATTTATAGCATGCCATCCTTTTTTTCCTTTCTGCTTATTCCAAGACCTTGTTGAATCTGTTCTGCTAGTATTTTTATTATCTCTAATTGATGGCATACAAATACATAGTCCTTGAATAGATTTTACTAGATTACAGCAACATTTCTAAAAGTTTTGCAGCCAAATACCCCAGGAAATATGCAGCAATTATAAACGGCACAATTATTGACAGTATTTTTCATTTCAAATTTTATTTCCATACTACAAATAAAACACTTATCACTCATTCATTTCAGTCAGTACTAAATGCCACCTGCTGACACATATTTACGGTGCTAAGGAAGCTTGATTATATTACTTTTGGTGTCTTTTATTAATTTTTAAATGGACCATTACTGTGGATACTTACTGGACTTCACAGATCACAAGTTAATAACACTGATTAAAGGATCAATCAATCGAAAGGAAGACATATTGGTGTGCTAACTCAATTCATCTGATGCAGTGTATGTTATCAGGATCCTAATCTACTGCCTTTTCAAACGGTAGAATTGGAGTACAAATAGCCGGGTAATAACGGTACCAGATAGTCATATAAATACATAATAAATATTTTTGTGAATTTTCTACACTTACTTGGATATTTTTTTCAATCCATTACATAGTAAAGTTGGTGTAAATAAAATGAATAGGGTAACGTAGGGCAGCACAAGCTGTCCAGTAGTTGGAAATTGCCAAGTTGCACTTTGAAGCAATGTAGTCAAAATACATTTGCCACTCAACAACAGTGACAAAACTTGTCCCAAAATGATACTTCTCCACACCTTCCTGTAATATTTTTCTTTATATATTATCTGTCAGAGATAAGAGTTTATGTAAAAATAATACAGAAATGAACAGAGTTATGGAATACTCGCCATCGCCCTAACTCCGAAAAATAAGACTCAATTTTTGCACTGAAACTCGAGTCTTCCATTATTTTTGTTAAGTCATACGAAGGTTCCTCAAATAGAGAACACTGTTGAATATGAAATAACCGTATAAATCAATAGAAATTTAATAAATTTTGCCATATTTTTATCGACAAAGGGCAAGGCAAAACAATTTGTAATGTGACATTTATGACACGTTCGGAAATAACTTTTCATCAGTTTTTTTACGATACGTTTAGAAATTGAATACGTACCATAGACAAGATTCATATCAGTCAGTCATTCAAACGTCAAAGTGAAAAGTTGCATTTAGAATGTAGGTTTGTATGATAATTAATTCCTTGACCTTTCTTTAAGCGCGCGCTAAGTGGAATTTTTAAAACAAAAATGTCAATGCTTTGTCTGCTTTGGTTTGTTGTTAAATGAAGACTATGGCTGCATGGCTCTGCCTTTGCCTTTTCCAAGATGGGAGTTTTTGGCGGGATTTCATCGAGTGTGGTTGGCGTCTTATTTTAATTATTCTTAAATTCGTTCATAGTGGATATTGTGAAATATTGGTGTGATTTTGTGTTACAACTGTCTACGTAACTGAAGAATTGGTAGAATCGTCAAAATATACGCTATTCCGGTCAAGTGGACGTGAGAATTTTATTGTAGTATTGACTACCTCACAGAAGCTTATCGAAAAAGCCAGCTCGATACATTTCGTGCCAAACACTTCAAGAAACATTAGAATGCGTCACACCGACATTCTAATGTAAAAAGAAAAACATAATAATTTAACTTTAGACTACGCTGTATGGGCATTGTTTCCCTTGCCTTCCGTGAAAAGGGAGAACGTAACCAAAAAAAAGGGTTTGATGTTCTATAAATCAACAAAAATTTGCACACAAAATACCTCTATTTTACTGGAGATTCGTTTTCTTAATTTTGCACATACATAGTAATATATATTTTTAGCAAATACCACAAGCACAAGTAAATATGGGAGACGGTAAGCTTTATTATTGCTAAAGCAACGTACTTAGAACACCTGCCTGCTTAATTAATTATTTATTTTACAGAGGATGTAATTCGTAGAAGACTGCTTATTGACGGAGATGGTACTGGAGATGATAGAAGACTGAATGTTCTTTTGAAGACATTGATAAAATGGTGCAATAGTACAGACGAAAAACCTGAAGAAAGGTAACCTCTTGGTGTTATCATAATATTTTCCTGTGTTTACGAAATAACATTATAAGAACTTATGAATATTCATTGGATGTGAGTACTATGTTTTATATGTTTACAGTAAAGCCACTCATGATCGTATGCTCGCCCAGTTAGCTCAGTGTGAATTTGCTGTTACTAAGTCGCAGCTAGCATCAGATATGATGGCAGCAGAGCTCAAAAGCTACGAAGCACTATCGGACATACTGGAAACGGGCATAGAAGTTGCTAAGGGCAATATTGACAAAAGTAAAGCTGATCTTGCTCAAGCCAAGACTGTACGTAAGAATCGCATTGAGTATGATGTACTAGCAAAAGTAATAAGTGAACAGCCAGATAGAAAAGCGACTTTAGATCAGTTGAGCACTCTTAAAAGTGAACTAGCGAATTTGGAGTCGTCTAAACATCAACTGGAGAGTCGGTTGGCTCTAAGAAAAAAACAGTTTCATGTCCTTGTTACATCGATACATCAGTTACAAGCTTTATTAGATGAACCTGATGATACTGAGTCACTTTCTGATGATGTGGAAATGAAAGAAGTTACAAGTGATGCCTAGTTATTTCTATAGAATTAAGAAAAGTGATACTTTAAGTCATCCATTTTTATAATTAATAAATTGAAAGAACTTATATTAATATATTTTTTTTTTCCACTTTATGGAGTACTAGCAATTCATCCAGACTGTGCATGAGCGAAATATATTTTTAAAGAATTTTGGAAACAATCCCGGGACTTTTTGGGTTTAATCATTGCAAACATACAAATCGTTCCTTTCCTATGTATTAGTAATCTTTCCTCTAATAACCAATAGCGTGCCCGATAGGGTCCATAACGCTCGCGGAAAGGCCCTCTCTGTCACCCATAATCGCTTGCGGTAGCGGCGTAGTAAAAATTCATTCATAGACATGTAATTATCGATGTCTTACTTTTTGGTGTAGCGCTGTCGCGATCACGATGCGGACGACAAATTGCAACTAAAACAAATGCAATTCAATTCATTATTCAATCAATGAAATGCTCTCTGTCTTACTTCTATGCGGCGGCCCGGATTGGCGCGAAGGCGGGGCGTAGTAAAAACTACTGTAGAAAACCGTTCAAAGCATTTTGTTCGCCAAGTGACAGAGCGCAAAATTTCCTTCCACCCATTGGCACAGTATGGTTGCAAAAAATTATTTGAGTTTGAGTTAGTATAGATTTATTTTATTAGATTTTCTTATTTGACACATGTTTTTTCTTTTTAGGAGTGGTCTTTTTATTATTACAAATCTTTCTTTTCTTTTTTTCCGGTTCTGATTCTTGAACAGTAGCAACAGTTTTTCGTATTGCCCATTCGCGTTCTTTATCTATTCTTTTAGATGGTTTAATTTCTGAAAGATCGGCACGGTATTTACGCCTAAGCCGGTTGTATTCGGCGATCGCTGAAGCTTCAGCTTTTATACTCTTGAAGTCAACATTTATGAGGTGCACCCCATGAAGATATTTTAGGTTACTCGTGAAAGCGCCACGTAGGCTTGGCCACATGTATTATATAATGGAGGTGCCAATGTCTATGAGGACATTTTTTAGAATTAGACCTTGGTATCACCGCCACTCTTAGTCCAATGCATTATATTTTGACCAAATTTTGAGCGTAATTAATATTTTAGTGTAATTTGTTTATTTAATTTGTGTAATGTTCGAGTAGGATAAAGTTAATCGTTCGACTATTTTTTCTTGTAATCTCGTAAGTATAAGTATAAAAGCCAGTGTAGTGTTATCCAGAGCTTTCCTTTAATTTTATTTATATGCGTATTAAAAGCAGAAGGGGAGGCATTCGCCCACTACGCTGGATTTTTGCAATGACAGTCGATTTTTTTGTGTACTAATAGTAGAAGGGGGCATTACCATATCTCTAATACTCTAATAATATAGAATAATATAGAATAATATCTTCAGACCTTCGATTTTTGACATCAAATGAAGCGGCCCACCAAATTGAATATTTTTTGCAAAGGCGGTATGTCGATCTCTTCTAATAGTTTGGTTGGGCTCTTGTGTTTTCTCATCAGGGTCACCAGGTACTCCAGATCTTCGATTATCCTAGTTTTATAGTTTTCCCTTCATGTGGCCATTAAACCCTAACTCTGTACCGACAAAAACAAAACACCACCAAAAGGTAGTTAGTCTTACTGTGATCTTCTGTAAGGTGAAGATTTCTTTCCCAGACGGTCGCTCCGATTCGAGCGGAATCCAAATCCGCTATGCTCTACCTCTTAAAAATGTGAATACATGAAAACTTGAAATACCTCGCTGACTGTGTACCAACCGATGAGACTGACATACCTCGAAAGGCTCATAAAGTCATAAAATAAACATTTTGAAATTCCCTACAGTGTTATTTTTTTACGTATGGTGGCATTCAGTTTACTCATCTACTATTTATATTGTATCCAGTACAATCACACCAATGCTAATTTGAACTTTATTCCTAAATAACTAAGGTTGGAACTCTTCAGCTCAGTCGCAAGTGCGCTTTATGTTCGTAACGAGCATTGCGTGCTTAGATCCAGACAGGTGAATTCTCGGTACGATCGACAACATTATTATGTGGTAACTTTGTTATTCCAAAATTAACTGTATGACGTTGGTGCAAGGTCGGTTCAAGAGATAAGTCTAGTGTCTGTTGACTTTTGAGAATAAATATGTTCCTACCCCAATGATGTACATTGTAAACGTCTCTTGCAAAAGTCAATAGGAATAAGATTAATAAATAATGTCTCCACCTGCTGCATGTACAGTCGTTCGATGTGAAATTTATGTCAAAGTCTGAAAGATTCCGTTTCTTTATGTATTAGATTAGGAAATAAAATTCATTATCATCGTCAGTCTAATCATGTCCTCACGGTTGGGGCACAGGCCTTCCCTGTGTTGGGATAGTGAGACCGGGCTATGATCCACCACTCGGATTTAGTGTGACTGTGGTTTGCTGCAGATGAAGCGCTGGGACCATCGAAAAAAGCTTACTTTGGAGATAACGAATTTCGGCCACTAATGCTATGACCGGCTATGCTAACCACTAATGAGGTTCTCTTTCTCATTATAAAGATAAATATTTAAAGGTAACATGTTTACTGACGAAGGTAACGAAATAACTTCTATGCTTTTATAACACAAAAAGCTTTTGTAGAACATAAATGATAAATATTTACATGGGAAGTGTTGTAATTGGAAGTGTGAATGGCTGAAGTGGTACATTTTTCTGCCGCACCAGCTCTATTTGGAGGCGAGTTGCACTAAGCTCCTCTCACACTAGTTTTGTAGTGGGTGGGGTAGAGTAATTCGATGCACCTTGTAAAAACGAATTTGAATGTCCAAACTATTAATTACACGCCTGCGAACTTCGTTCTCAACTTTCCTAAGCGATTGTACACATTGTCGAAAACTAACTTTTACCGCGCAAGTCCACGCGCCACTTCACTTACATAGAGGAGAGCAGACACTGTTCCGCTAACTCAGCGCGAGGTTACACGTAGCCGCACGCACGGCGCGGCGTTTAAAGCTCGCGTCGAGAGAAAATGCCTTCCCTGTGGGACTACTTGCATTTCAACCGGCAGTACAACAACAAGCGAAACCTAGAAGAGGGCCTGTTCCAAATCGCTTCGCAGACCTGCAACATCCTAGTGAAAGTCAACAATACGAACAACATTAACTTGACGAGGAGCGACGAGTACGGGTGCGCTGGACCCCCCAAAGGGAAAACTTCTATGCAGGTGTGCGTGCCCAAGTTCAGGAAGAATTCTATCACGTCGGGGTGCAACCCAGGACTCTCGGTAAGTGTTTATTCAAAAAGTTTCAATCAATTAGCTTTTGTGCACCTTGATTCTGACTTGTTTTTTGGTAATTTGGTTGGAAAAAGTATGGTAGTACCTAGTCGAAATATTTATAAGGGCAACAAGTAACTACGAGCAGCTTCCGAAAGTCCCAGATTTAGTGTCTGTCTGTCGCAATATTTTTAAGGGCGAATAAACGTCATATATCCTTCATGTAATTTTTTCCCCCATTTACGAGTAAATAATTTATATAATATTTAAGTAATTTTGCTAATAAAAGTATTATAAATTATTCAATGTTAAAAACTAAGAGTTACGTAAGTACCAACTTACATTTAGGCAGTTAAACTCCAGATAAAGTGGCCTAAGTTGCGCTGTTTAAATTTTTAATTTATAAGTAAATTGTTAATGTCCGAACGACACGTCCATCAAACTTATCACACACCTACCTAACATTTGTCCTTGTCTATCCGTAAAAGATGCATAGGCGCGCAGCGAAGCGCCTTGCATGCAGTTAGTCCACTTTGATTGTCCATTGGTGATAAACGATAACTTAATACCTATCAGTGTTAAATAAGCCGTTTGTTTTGTAGTGATTTAGTGTTGTGCAAATGCAAGCAAGCTGTTTCACCTAGAGGTGGGACCTTCGTAGATTTCTTTGGTGATGTGTAGTGTAATGGATGCGCTTTTGTTTTGCCTTCTTTTTTTACCGTGCCGTGTGGTGCGACCGCTGTTAACCCATATCGATTTGTGCGGAAGACACGGCGGTCGCAGCAACCAGCCAACGACGGACGACGATGCTACAGCGACCTTGCCCTAATTATTCACGTATTTAGTATTTTATATACTTTGGGGGCCAAATCGGCCCTAGCAGTGAAGAGCTTTATAATCGTGTTTTTGTAAAAATTTTGAGACGTTACTTCCTTTTTATAGCCTTTACCAAAGCATAGTACTTAGGTACGAGTATGTAGAGTTAGGAAAACATTGAAACTCCGAAAAGTTAAAATTTAACAAATCTAAGGTGGAAATGAAATGGGAAAATGCCTACATTCTTAATAATAATAATTTTATCCGATATTACTTCTCTATCAGGCATAACTCATTGGTTCAAACAAATGTTTGCTCATATAAATATCAAGATAAGGCATTAATTAATTTCCTATATATTCAATCTATCATTTTCATCGTGATGAACGTATGCCTACTAGATTTGGTAACCACAGGTTAGGTTGACTGTCCAGGAAAAGTCCTACACGGTGTTAGTTGACTAATAATAACTATGACCTTTCATGCATAAATTGACGAATTCTACTTCGTCAAAAAAGTTTTATCCCACTAGTTTATCTTTTAATCACACCTACATTTATCGCGAATAATCGGGATGATAACTAACTTTTTTTTCTTTGCCTATCACTATTGGCTAACTACTTTTGACAGATGGTAGTGATTATCACCGAGCTATTAAGTGATCTAGTACTGTTTTATTATAACGCCACTATATTTGTTCTGAAAAACATCAATGCAAATGCAATTTTCTCTTCAGTTGAACACTGTAAATGTCAAAAAAGATTGCGAATATGCCGGCAGGTAGATTATCAGAAAGTATTAATGGACACATATTTTTTCTTTTTTCACATAATCAAAACCACGGACCTAAAAAAAAACGGACGTAACATCAAACTAAAATGATGCGAAGCATGCAAGGTACTACAATTTCGTTTGTTGTACTGTACAACAAACGAAATTGTACAATTGTACAACTTGTACGCTATCTACACTCATACAAATGCACCAGGTCGGACAACCGGCGGGTTGTCGCATTGAAACATGATTAAAGCATTAAAAATTATTGAAACATGATTAAAGCATTAAAGATATTTTATCTACTTTTTTTCATTGTTATGGTAAATTAAACCTAAAAATGTAATTTCAAATTAAATTTAATTGAAATTTCTGTAAAATAACTTAAGCTTGTAATAAATAGTAATTTTTCAGTAATTTGTTTTTATTTGTATCAAAAAACAGCTAATTTCCCAACTAGCCATTTTGATCTTTATTCTTGCTCACATTTCAAATCTTAGTGGTGAAACCGAAATTATTGTAAAATTACATATGCTAAAGTTATTTTATAGGAATTTCAATTAAATTTATTTGAAATTACATTTTTAAGTTAAATTTACCATAACAATGATAAAAAGTAGATTAAATATTTTTTAATGCTTTAATCATGTTTCAATGATTTTTAGCCTATCCGCCTTCAAAAGCCAATTACAATAAAAATAGGCTGATTAAGTACAATTTTTTTTTTATATGATTTTTGGTAGTTTAGAAGCACGCGGAGTCTTTAATTTTAGCGAGAACCTATGGAAACTGTTTTTGTACTTCTAAATTGAAGTTGAATGTTTGAGTAAATCCTACTAAAAACTAAAGTTCCAACTTTCAAGCCTTTTTTGAGTAACTTTAAGTAATTGCAGGAAGTAGAGTTATTTTTTTATTAAAACAACATTCAAGACAATTATGTCACAAAAAAAGACTGCAAAATACCTACTACGAAAAAAGATAAGAATTTTTGAAACCTCGCTTGCAGAAATCATTGCAATACACAAAAAAAATTATAACTCGAAAACTAAGAAAAATCGCGGAACATACATGGGGTATTTTCGGATACCACCAGGTGCGAGGAATCTAAAAAAAATTGTTGACGTCACTAGTTGGACCACCCTGTATATTTGATTACATAATGTTAACAATGTTTAATTTACGAGATTTAATTTATTTAAGTTCCCTACTTTTTAATTGGAGTGTAACCCTCAAATCACTCACACGCGGTAAGCGGGCGGCCATTGGCATGCTTTACTCACAATTAGACGAGGTTACGTCCGTCTTTTTTCAGGTCCGTGATCAAAACATTACAGAAATATATTGATATGAAATGACGCAAGACGTCATGTTTTGGTACAATTTTTACTTAAAAGTGACGTCATTAGCGCACACTCAAACTTTGACGCGCTTTATCTTTGAATTTTTTGGTTGATTGACCAAAGAAAAAATATATGTCCATAATTTTTCAATAATCTATCTCACAGGCTAAATATAATTTCGTTGACTATACCCCGTCGTCACCCTTATTAACATATACACAATGCAGAACCTTGAACTAATAATATGCATCTAGGTATTGGAATTAAATAACCACACGGCCTTCTAAGATCGAACTTGAAGATATAATACTGTCGGAGACGCGATCGAAAGGTAGGGTAACAATAATTTCTGAGGTGTGCAAGTTAATATCTTCTGTCGGGAAATGGGCGACAAACACGCGAACTTTAACCACGGTGGGAAATATATATACTTACATTAACTGAGCATTTAGAGATGCATGTGGAGAGTTATAAAGCTGAGCAAGCAAACCCAATTTCCGTTTATTATTTTTAATCGGATACCGAAATGAGATGGTAATTAGGTTATAAATAATAAATAAAATAAATATTTCCAACACTTACACCAATTAGCCTGGCCCCAAAGTAAGCACTGTAGGGCTTGTGTTATGGGATGCTAGGGTAACGGATAGAATACATATACTGTACATATATAAGTATATTTATATAAATACATATGAAACATCCATGACTGGAGTACAAATGCTCGTATTCATCACACAAACATCTGCCCCCACCGGGACTCGAACCCGGGACCTCTCGAGTCGGCGACACCATGAAACCCGGCATACAAACCACTCGACCACGGAGGTCGTCGAATAACTTCTTAATCATCTGTATTAGGCTGTTGTCCATACTGTTGATTGAGGCCTTCCCTATGTAAAGTATACAGACATAATGAGGTAACGACATGGGCCAGTTATAATTTTCATTACAGAGGCTTTTATATCTGACTTCAAAAATTTGGAAGTTCCCAAAATTTTTTTTGTAGTGATAATTTCTTATGGGACGGTAAACCGCTTCGTTACGTAACGCGTTACGGCGCCACTGTCTGGCTTCCCTTCCTCCCATGCATACGGCTGTGTTACTTAGATTAGTTTAAGTTATCACTTCTGTCGTGCGTCTCGAGACGCACACGCTTTGTTTTGTTCTCCCTTATGTGATCGGCTTCTATAAAAATGCTTTACCCTCCGCATTATATTCTCCGCAAAATATTTCAAATTGTATACACCAGGATAGATCTAATGACATACCTGGGCCAATATCAACATATACATTTTTTGGAAGATTTGGTGGCAACAAACAAGAGTATAATACTATAAAATGGAGCTTAGTGTTGCAAAATTCTTATTTCTCCGAGAATTGTAGCAATAATCACCGAAACATCTTAAGTTTTGCACTGACACAAAAAGTGAAATTTGTACACCAAAGCTTAAATCAAAACAACCAAAACTGAATTTAATACACCAAATCTTAAAATAATCATTATTTATATGAAAAAAGTAAATATAAATGCCGTTGAAATTATTTGCTGAACTGAACTGAACGAATCTTTATATTAATCCATATGAAGCAAGAGGAGTATATGTAGCCATTTTACTAAGCATTTGAGGACTTATGAAATTATTGATTGTATTTGGGAAATTACTGTGACTTCGATTGAAAAACGTTTATACGAAAGAGCCATCATGTCAGTTTCTTTTTGGTTGCAAAACTTATCCAGGTGTACTGGAAAGTGAAGCTGAATTCACTGCCATTATACTGTCAAACTTCTGGCCTGGAAGAACTCAGTATAAACATCTGTGGCAAATATGTCATTAATCTTCGATTCACTGTCGTGATTATAGATAGCAAAGTCGTTAGAGGACCTTGTCACAATATACAAAGACTTTAAAAACAACAACAAAAATCTTAAAATGAATATGGACAAGACAAATCTAATATCAAATTCCGCCATGTCCCAATTCCTCTGAAAGAAACAAAAACTCTAGTAATCTGAGAATTGTAAACGATTATGTTAACCTGGAACAGACAGTCTAGAACCATTTTCAGTAAGAGGTA